TGGGGTCTCCCAGAATTTGGGACTCCGAGCGTTAAATATTGTATCCACGGAGACTTGAAGGACTCTACCGGAGCCAGCTAGAGTAGCTATCAGTAGTATTATCGCATGAATGCAGGTCTCTGAAGCCGTATGGTGCCCACAAATCCTCAACCAAAATTGTCTGCAAAATACTAAAAGACAGTCCACTGATAATTCAGAAGTAATACTTGGCAATACTGAAAGTGTTCGGGAGAAGTGTTCAGAAGAAGTGTTCGAGAGAAGTGTTCCCAAATTTGCATAGGAATGGGATTCTCAGCTTGCCTTTTTTAATATGATGTCATGGCTGAACCGTCAAAGACTACATTGTAGTCTAGTAGAGGAAGGTTCTGAGAATAGTGTTGTCGACGAAGATCCCGTGGCCTACGTAAAACAGGCAGTTTGCCGATTCAGTGGATTCGGAATGGGATTCTCAGCTTGCCATATGAATATGATGTTGTCATGGCTGAACCGTTGAAGACTAGTCTAGTAGAGGACCCGTGTCATCATCCATCCATGGTTCGGTTCGACTGGGTTTTCGAGGACGAGCATGCAAAGATGATTGATGTCATTCGGAGAGCCAGCAATGGCAATAATTCCTTCCTTGAGAAAGGTAGGAAAATCACTGTCGACTCGACTCCATGCTGACAAACCTCAAGGCCATGGTGGCTTTGGATAGATTGCTTCGATCAATCGATCCGAACTAGTAGACCAGCGTCACTGTACGGTACTGTCTTTTTGTGCCTTGCAGTTCCTGAATCAAATCGGCAGCATTGTTTTGTAAGGTACTGGATCCCGTCGACCATGGTTTCTTGTGTTGACTCCAGGACCTAGCTAGAACAGGAAACGGTTGAAAGAGAGTGAGATACATTGCAAGACAGACGCGGATGAGATAAGTTTCACTCTCAGACAGCAGAAGACAAAACAATCGAACGGGATGCAGCAACACCAGCAGAACAGAGCGAGAGTTCGAGAGAGATGTCAAAGACTCTGACCAATCCGAAACCATTTCTAATCATAGTCCCCAGTAATGAGGCGATGCCAAGTGCCTACTCGTACATGTCAAATCGCCAGACTGCTCCCCACCACCACTCTGTGGGATGCCTCACATTTTGTGATGCCAGCCCCGACCTTTTTGACCGAGACTTGTTCCCGTGGAGCAAGAGAAGGAAGCAATCCAGCAACCAACCATGCCTTCGGCACAATGACGTTCAGACGGCACTTCCTAAATCAGCGGAAATCTTCCTCGTCCTTCATCTCTCTCTCTCTCTCTTTTTCCTCGCCTCATCAACGACCAGACTGGTAGACAGGCAAGACACTCCATGCAGGGGTCATCTCTGGATGGTACGCGAACTCAAACACACACACGTACAATACAATACAATACAATAGAACAGGTGATTGGCGTTGTCTCCTTTGGGTTGTGGCAGAGGCTAAACTGCCAATATCCTCAAAAATGGAGCAAAGATGCCCCTTTTCAGAGCCCAGTGCTTATGTCATTTGGCATTCATTGACGCGCGCAACATACACACAACAAACCAACAGCAAATGGATCTGCCAAGGCCGTACTTACAGTCTCGTTCGCTGTGCTCTCTCTCTATGCCACAGTTAGAAGTAGGAGGGGAGCCATCCATTGGACAGGTTGACCAATATGTGACCATGAACTCCTCTCGGTCAATACCAGTAGCGGTACACCTCGTCTACCTGCTTCTCTGCCGAGGTGGTGAGACCTCTCGTTGCTTGGGGCAACCAAAGCGCCATGATCTTTTGGATCCAAAAACATCCTCGAGAAAAAATAATGAGTGGTGGTAAATAAATAACGTGCAACGGTTGAAGGAAAAATCAATTTTTGTTTTTTCCAAAAGAAAAATTAACCAATAATTTGCATTCGATTTGAGAAAGCAAAAGTGACAAAAACGGTTCCCTGCAGGCAATGTGCGAATTTGGGGGGGTTAGAGCATAATATACCGGCACGGGGGTTTAGAGTAGGGAAATGATCTATGGAAGCCAGTCGGGGCCAGGCTAAAGCAAAGAAGAGTCCTAGCTACCGTAGCTATTATGGTAGGGGTTCTGTCGGCCTTTTCGGGGGCCAAAGGGATTGGCTCTATGGGATCCACGAAGACTGAAGGGGGCAAGCTAGCTACCGGTATTAAAGGAAGGGGGGTTGTGGAAAGAATGTGACAAGGGGGTGGGAAAGAGCGAGGTTTGAAGTTTGGCCTGGTCGACACTGCTGAACTGGTGCACATCAACATCCCTGCTGAACTGGTCAGTGCCAGGTTCCGGGACAACATACAATGACATGAGATCAGACCGAGAGAGAGCCCAAGCAAACTGAGGAGATTCGATTCAATGAGCCCAGAGATTGTACCGGTACACACAAATACATTGAGAAAGCAAGTAACCAACCAACTGAGAATGGATCCATCATCACAGAATGCGGCAGATGCCAAGCTGGTGCAGGACATTACTGCACGCAGACCCGATTTAGAAGCAGCCCACCAGCAGTACCAACATCCTCGTGGTCGACGACCGCGAGGGCCCTCCCCGCAACGCCCCTCCCCACAACGCCGTGTTGTCCACCATAATAATAATAGTATTCCTCGTAGTAGAGCAGCCGCTGCCGCACCAGATCCGGAAGAATCGTCGGACACAGAGCCAGATGTGGTCCTGAAAGTAGTAGCCAAAAGAGCTGCAATGGCGGCAGCATCAGAGAGGGAAGCCGAAGTGCAGCCGCATGGAAGCAACGAAGGTGGCACAGCACTAATGACGACGACATCAAACAGGAAAGAGCAGATGAAAATACCATTGTCACGACGGAAGGAGAGCCAGCGTCGTCACCATGGCCACAATTGCAGAATGGCAATGCCAGACAGCAACAGGCCGCACCGGGAGCTTTTCGAGAATCTGTGGGTCAACAGTCGCAGCAAGTCAGTCCTCTCAATTTAAAGGGAGGAGCAGCCAACGTACTGGGTCGTCCCACGCCAACACAATTAGACACGATACAGGACACTAATAATTATTTGGAAAACAATGCCACTGTGGAGGCTGCAACACACAACAGCCATGAGGATGAGGACATGGCCCAACAGCAAAAACGGAAACGCCTGTATTGGGCAATGGCAGGTGGAATTGGCATGCTACTTTTGATTGCAGCGATTATTGGGATTGCAATTGGTGTTGCATCATCCAAAGAGCCAAGCAGCCAAACACAAGTTGACACAACGAATGCACCAGAAGAGATTACCACAGCACTTGTCAAAGAATTTTTTCCAACAGGACTCCCTAACCGTTCCCAAGAAGCCGTTTTGTCAAATAATGACCGATTGCCTCAGGTTCGAGCATTTCAATGGCTATCGCAAGATGAAAACTGGCAAAAATACAGTGTACCACAGCGTCGGCAGCGATTTGCTCTGGCTACTTTGTACTATGCCACCAATGGACCCCAGTGGTTTGATCATCTCCTCCCAGATGAACGAGCAAACGTCACGCCGTGGCTGGATTATTCCGTCCACGAATGTTCCTGGTTTGCCATGCTCAAAGGTTATGGCAGACCCAAATGTGAAAATTACACGGATCACAACATCACACTAGCCAATCCATGGGATGCTCATTTTGACTACACATCCATACTGCTGAGTGCTGACCCATCACTTCTCCCCCCCGACACTCATCATGTGCCAGCAAGACTACGAGGAACTCTCGTCCCAGAACTGGCACTCTTGACCAGTCTACAAGAACTTGATATGGATTATCAAAGTATCAAAGGAACTATCCCCAATGAACTGACACAACTCTCCAACACGCTCGAGTACATTGACTTGATCAAGTGTTTCTTCACAGGTACCATTCCTGCAGGGCTGTTTGTCTCATCAAAGTCCTTATTCTTGAGTCGCAATGCTCGCCTCTTGGCGTCCATTCCAACTGCAATTGGCAATTCCTCGAAGCTGGAATATTTGTTGTTGACTGAAACGAATTTGGAGGGGAGTATTCCCAGTGAAATTGGCATGGCCACAAACCTCCTAGAGCTCTTCTTGAATGCCAATGATTTGGAGGGTACCATCCCCAGTGAGGTAGGGCTACTTTCACTGCTACATGTGCTGGATCTGACATATAATGAGCTCTCTGGTTCCATTCCCTCTGAGATTGGACAAGCACAGAGTCTCCAGCGACTCAAATTAGGCTTAAAATCTGGCATGCGTGGGACATTGCCTACCAGTCTCGCACTGCTGTCCAATCTACAAGAGCTAGATCTCTACAAGAATTCCTTAGAGGGATCCCTCCAGCCAGAGCTCTTCTATCTGAGAACAAACAGCAGCACGGAAGTATCAATGACCCCATCCTGGCCTAATCTAACAACCCTGATACTGACTGACAACAGGCTTTCTGGTTCTCTTCCTTCGGAAATTGGCCTGCTTGGAGCTTTGGAGCGTCTGTTCTTGGCAAGGAACAAGTTGGAATCCCAGCTGCCTACAGAGCTTGGGTCGTTGTCCAACTTGGAGTGCCTGGGCATAGCACAAAACCAATTTACCGGCGAGCTACCTTTCGAAGTTTCCAATGGTCTTCCTGGTTTGGTGACAGATGTTGAGAGCTTTGCACTGTCATCGTCAACCCCTTTGCTGAGTTTGAATTTTTCCGCACGCTGTCCTCATTAGTTGGTTGAGTTGGACGAGAAAACCGATTTCTTCAAGGTCTTCTTTGAATTCGGCGCACACTGTACAGAAGGAGACTAAGTTACATACAAACACAATTGATGATGCTGTGGCTGCTTTCCAATACCTTCAGCACTGGGCCTCTTTCTGGTTCCTTGGCGTCTTCTTGCCAACCAGCTCGTATTCCGAGCTTGGAATACGGGTCAATTTGGAGTGATTGTGTCGAGCTGTCATCCGGCCAGCTGCCTTAGGCGGGTCTTGCTGTTTGGTGTCGGACATCAACAGCGCTGATTCGGACATCATTCTTTGATTTGCCTTTGGAATTTTGTGGTTCGTTGTCGGGTACCGTACGTTCTGCTGGAAGCAACAACTGCCTTTGGGGGGCACGATGTACAAGATCAAACACAGGCGAGGATTCCTTGCCTGTGGGTATGCTGCCGAAGTAATGGCATGAACAACTAGCTAGGCAGCATCGTAACGAAACAACTGACATTTTAGATCTACGACTGAAGGGAATGATTTGAGTTGTACAGAACCGGAACAAAAGAATGCAAACTTTTGGCCTAGGGGGGTTGTGAAACAGAGGGATCGACGTGCGCAATTCCGCAGACATCCAGGTTGCCCATCGTTTTTTTATGAATTGCCACATTCTGGGCTACTGTGACAGCTGGACATCCGTTGTCCTTCAGAAATGCCAAAAGTCTTTATGTCAATATGGCTGCGAACGACAACAAGAAACGTGTTTTGATTGAAGATTGACGCTTCTATGGGCAACGGGCCATACAAGCCTGACTGAAAAGGAAGGCGATGGGCCATCACTGAAATGCTCTCCTCCATGCCTTTACCGGCTGGAGCTCCGTCGAGGAAGAAGCCATCCCATTTCTGAAAGGGATCATACTACTGTAGCGCAGGGGTGCGTGGTTTTGGCTCGTCTTCTCGCGTTGGGTGTGCGCGCCTTCTTGCTCCGTTGCTACTTCAACTGTTCCTTGGACAATCCAAGGCAGTCGCTGCTGGATCTTTCGAGCGTTCGTAGATCAGTCTTCACTGTCAGCTGTCAGCTCTAGCTAGACTAGCCCTCCACGCGGTCGTTTTCTCCGTCTGTGTTGCTGGTGGTGGAAGACATGTCCTCCTCGTCACTGTCTGACTCCAAATCCGAGGAACCGTCGCAAGATGATAGCTCGCACGTGGATGGCACTCTTTGAGGACGTTGTGGTGGACCTGCCGACACTTGTCGATCCGACGTCTGCGGCGATGCGTTCATGCTGACGATTGTTGTATTGCCAGCACTGGCGCTGATCTCGTCAGTGAAGGAAGAAGCAGAAGCAGATGATGATGACGACGACGACGACATTTCTCTATCAGAAGGAATCCGCTGAGGACGCTGCGGAGCCGTGTTGCGGTCCATGATGAGAGATGGCAATGATAGTTCACTGATGGAAGCATTGTTGCTGGTGTCGTGTTCGAGATCCTCGTCCATGCCGGGCTCACTACTATGTGCGGAGAGGTCGCGTTGGGGACATTGGGGAGGCAAGAGCGCACAGCCATGATGAGACGTTGCCGATCCTCGTGCACTCCAACGGAGACTACTCTCTACCAAAGGTTCAGTCTTTGCCGTCTTGGTGGAACTGTTTCGTTGGTTGGAATGCATCACCGTGGAAGCGTTTGAAATCGCCGAGAACAAGGTAGTCATCTTGTTCTTGTGGACCAAAGTGGATTCGTTGGACCGGGCCATCCATCGGCTGCTCGGCTGCTGCGATGACGACGCGGGGGAAGTGTCCCCACTTCGTGTGGGCAAGAAGATACAACAGCGGCAGCACAGACCGCCCCACACCATCTGTTTGACCTTGCCGCCGATCCAAGTCTTCATTTCTCGTCGTCCTCGACTAAAGATGAGAAAGTTCCAAAGGCCCTGCAGCGCCAAGAAGAAGTACGACATGCGATACAGCTGAACATTGTAACTTCCCGACACCAGGTACACCACGACGGATAGAGTTGCCGGTCCAAAGGTGAGAAAGAAGCCTCCAATGTACCAGAGGCCCTGGACTGCAGCAATGTGGGAGAAATGATTTTGGGAAGCGGAAGAGGTGCGTAGATGAGTGCTTGAAGTTCTCTGGTTGCAATCTTCGCTCGATGATCCCAGCTGTGCCTCAAGGTCCTCTCTGTCCACTGGTTCTGCAGTGTTCGCCTGTACTACTCTGGAAACAGGGCCAGGCTGGCCTTCTGAATCATCCTCAAACACAGGTTCAGATGTTTTCGTATTGCGTTGACCAGGAGGCTGTGAATGTTGTTGCTCTTGATTAGATCTACTAGACATGTCACTAAGGTCTTCTTCTTCCTCCTCCTCCTCAAGTCCAAAGAAGGAATTCCGAAGAGCTGTCTGTTCCAGTTGCTTGGTCTTGCGATAGACCAGGAACATGATGACCGAGTCCATCAAGGCGCAAACCCAAATGGGTATAATTTGCAGCACAAAGACCAAGTTGGAAACATCCACATTGGCGTCATCCGAGGCAATCCAGCACATTGGGCCGGCATCGTGGTAGAGATTGAGAATGAGGGGAAGAAGTGCCACGACAAAACTCACAGTCCACAATCCAAAGGCGACCGGTTGGAAGGTTCGAATGAGGCGTTGTCCCGTCCAATTGTGTTGGACCATGAGCAAGTATATAATGGCGAGGGAAGCATTGAAGGAGATGGAAGCTAGAAAGCCCATTTGGATGATAAATGCCTGAAACTTGCAGCCTCCACTGGTCGGCTCCATATGCCGATTCTCGGGGTCTTCTTCGTGGCTAATCACAAAACTGGCCATGAACCAGCCACTAACATTATAATACGTAGAGGATGGAATGGTGAGATGAGAGAGATAGACCATGTCTGTCGATCGCAATAGACGAAGATCACTACCGGTACTTACAAGGAAAAGAGCAAATCTCCCACACTCATGGAGAGTAGAGTGCGGGAAAGGGCTCCCAAATTTCGACCCTGAACCTTCCAATCTTGCACCACTTCGCCAATGATCAAGGAGCTCCCCATCATGCTCACAACGGCAGAGATTTGGGGGAGCAGAATCTCATTGATCTCAAACGCTGCACTCCCCATGGTCAAAGGAGACAAACTATAGAAGTATAAAGCAATGAACGATGCAGCAGTGGTTGCCAGTCAACTTACTTGGTTGCCCAAGCCACAAAAAAGAGTTTCGATTGATAATGTTTCACACTTTAAAAGACTACTCTCAGTAGTCTAGTCTAGACTATTAATACTTACTTCTGCAACCCTTCCTCTATCGATAAGCCATCCACCAGCTTTCTGATTGGCATAATGGCATACACCCCTCATCAATTAAAAAAATAATGTAGGTTGCCGAACCCAAGAAACACAGCTAGCGAAGCACTAGTACAGTACTACTGTAACAGTGTAACTACCGGTACCGGTAAATACGAATGCTCGACTAGATTTAAAGATGACTCCAGACTCCAGCTCATGTTCAATAAATATACTAGTATTGTGGCTTATGCAATAAGCAATAAGCAAAGACTGGAACTTTCCTTTGACTTCGGCTCTCTGATTTATTGCTAGGCCTCCACTATCCTTCTTACGAACGGCGTCGGTCATTATCGATTAATGAGCTATGCTCCATTCTTGCTTCCTTGAGAAACGGAAGCCCAAAGTTTCGAAGTGTACTTGTAAATGCCATATTGAATCGTGATTCAATTCAACGTAACAACTTACTTAGTAGACACAGTTAGTTATAATAGACTACGGACTACGGTACAGTAATCCTTCACAAGATTCTTCACATTCAAGCCGATAGAGCTGTGCTTTTATCTGGTTAACATGTAGACTACATGTACCGGTACCGGTACGGTACCGGTACCAGCACGGTAAACTGCGGATGGACGAGGCAGGAGCTCGAGGTTCCATCACTAAAATGGCTGCTGGTACCACCATGCCAAATAAATGCGATGGCCTTGAACATTAATTCATTCAATCAACAACTACATGTAGCTATAGTCTAGCTCGAAGTGAAGCTGCTGTGCCAATTTTGTGAAAAAGCAAGGCAGGTCTATCGCTCCTCCTGAATCGCATACAGTATTCTGCCTCTGTCTTGGTGTAAGACAAGATCAAAAGACTAGCTAGTATCTCTAGAGACACACAAGGTTGCCTGGAGCCACGCTCATTGGAACCTTGAGCAACCACCTCCACAGCAGCCGACTTTCTCTCCATTCAGCCAGGTGAACTCTGAAATAATCTTGGCGCAATACTTCTGGGGCTGGATCCTCGCTCCCACCTCATTCTAACTATTAGATCTAATAACCACATGTAATGGTTCTTTGTCGGAATGACGACCGCTGTGCTTTTGGACGCACTTTTCCCCTTGGATCTTGCGACTCGACTCGACTCACTCACTCCGGTCTCTCTTTGCGACCACTTTTCTGGGTCTCCACGTCTCCACAACAGGGATACCGGTACCGGTAGCCAAGCCCCCCTCGCATACCATTGGAGAATGACAACGAGAAACGATGCAATCAGATATTAATAGCACCAAATCAGGGACTACCAGTATGGAAGAGACCAGTGATATTAATAATAATGGCTGCCGCTGCAGCTGTTGTAGCTTTCGGCTAACCTTGTGGTGTTTGGGATTGTTGGGCCTCATGGGAATCCAAGTGACCATTGACAAGACAGTGCAAGAGTACCTGGGGCAGTCAGTCACGTCCTTGATGATGATTCTACTGGTGACGGGGATTTATGTTGGTGGCAGTTGTCGTTGTACCATATGCACCCATCGAAAACAAAGCAGTCGTTCCAGTGACAAGAGAACAGAGGCTTTCGAGGAACAAGACAACACAAGATCTCTGGATCAGGAAGAGGGACAAAAACGATCCAACCTTGAGATTGAAAATCTGGCTGCAGAATCAACAGCAGAATCCTCAAAGATTGCCGTGACAGCGACCAGTGTCACAGAAGTCCATGCCAAGGACGACGGAGATGACAATGACAATGACATATTGATAGAAGAAGAGGACACTCCTGTTCCAGTCACTTCTTCGCGCCTCGTCTTTTTGGACAATCTCAAGAGTTTCTTGACGTTTCTCGTGGTGACACTGCATGTCAATTGTGCCTTTGGTGGATGTCAAGATTTCTGGTTCCTCGTCGTGGGAGAATCCTCCCAACCACCCATATTCGCGGAACTGGTGCGACAATCTTCCATGCTGCTACAGGGATTCTTCATGCCACTCTTCTTTTTTGTCAGTGCCTACTTTGTACCCAATAGCTTTCGCAACAAAAGAACCACGCGGGACTTTATACGAGGCAAACGCCAGAGACTCTACGACCCTGCCATTGTGTTGTTTCTTACTGTCTTGCCCTTGACGGCGGCCCTGGGACATTGGGTGGCCACACCCGAACAAGGTTTCACCTACATTTTGACGCTGGGACATCTTTGGTTCAACATATGGTTATTGACACTGCATTGGGTGTATAGCACCTTGGCGGAACAACCACAGCAAGAGAAACAATTACCATTTCCATCCACCTACATACGAATGACGGCCGCATTGCTCTTTTGCGGAGTGCTGCTACTCCCGTTCCCAGCACTCATGGGACCCGTCACGTTTGGTGGCATGCCTCTGTTGCACGGAAGTGTAACCTGTGACTTGTTCCTGTATGCCATGGGAATCATGGCACGGAATCACGAATGGCTCCAAGGAGCGCCGTTGGCTGACAAAATGGACATTTCGCCGTGGCTCTTGCGGGGGTTGGTGCTGCTGGAAGCCAGCACGATGGTGATCCTTTTCTACGTGTACAATGTGCCCAGTGGGCAACCCATCTGGGCCCTCGTGGTCTTTTTTCTCGTCAGTGGCGTGTACACGGTCGACATGGGGTTGGCACTGGTGCAGCTGTTTCAATCCGTTTCATGGCAGCGTCACAATCGGTACAGTCGCTTCTTTCACAAGGCGGCGTATACAGTGTACTTGATCCACCCCACGGTGATTGTGGCGGTCAGTGCCGCCTACGTGCATGTCTTTAATGTCATAGTCATGGAGGAGGACAGGATGATTGTCTTTGACCCAACACAAAAACCAAAGCAGCTCCTAGAAGCAGTGGCTCCCCCAGGACAAGGAGCGGAGGAGTACTATGCAATGGGATGGTGTATTGTCTTTTGCTTGAGTCAGCTGATTGTGTGGCCCTTGTCCTACGGAATAGCCCATCTACCATACTTAAACAGGATTCTTTGATTGGTGTGGCTAGCAGGCCGCAATATATAGCAAGAGGCCAAAAACTGACCCCTGTCAATTGTCAGGAAAACTTCAGCTCTAGCTTCTGCTAAATTCTCGAGTACATGCCAGAACCACAGCCAGGACAGGTTTGGAAGGAGAATAGAGAGCAGATAGATGCAGAGTATCAATATTCATTATTTGTTGTCTAAAAATGGATGTGCGTTGAGAGATGATATCCACCAAGCAAGTTGTCAACAGCATTGGTTGTGTTGATTTTGAAACAAACAGTGCCAGTAAAACTCCCTACATGTAGTTTGCTTCTGCACCTTGATGCATACCATGCATTGGTTCCAGAGCTACCGCAGGGCTGGTCACGGTACCGAACATTTGAGTTCGCTCCTTCCTCTGTGTTGCTTGATGCTGCTTATAAGAGCTTATCAGGGGGTGAATTTGCTGCTGGTGTATATGCATTCAAGCCGCAAGCTCGTTATCAGATGTCCGCGACAGGATCAGCTCATCAAGATGCGCTACTGGTGGTGTTCAGCATTCTTGTACTTTTCTGGTGCGTAAATACAGCACTGGATCTGCTTGCAATCCACTGAAAAGTGCATCCTGTTGACTCTACGACGCAACAATAAGCCACAATGAGATTACTAGTTCCAAGGCTGAACGAAACAATGCAGTCATCAACAGCACAGCACAACTTACTGAGAATGTGAACAAATCAGATTTGGGATTGACCCTCCGAGCTCTTCATTCCCATCGACAGCAAAGCTGTTCAGACTCGACATTGTCCCCCATTCATTTGGTATTGTGCCGTGAAGCAGGTTGTGGCTAAGTCGCAGCTCCTTCAAACCAGTCAAGGCACCCCATTCAGGCGGCAGCGTGCCTGTTAGGGTGTTGGAATATAAGAATAGAGAATGTAGCTTGTCAAGGGACGACCAAGATGGAGGAAGCGGGCCAGACAGGCTGTTCTCATGGAGCCAGAGAGCGCCCATGTTGGTCATGGCGGCTGCATTTTGCATCATTGTCCCTGTGAGAAAGTTCTGGGACAAATCCAGAGTTTCAAGCCTAGCCAGCTGGCTCAACTCATTGGGAATGGACCCAACCAAAGAGGCTTCTGCCAAGTATAGTTCCTTCAGGTTTGGGAAGGATCCAAGAAACCTTGGAATGGTGGATCCTGCAAGGTTATTGTTCGAAAGATTGATGATCTCCAAAGTTGGCAGCTCATTCAGCCTCTCAGGGAGTAACAATTCCAGGGAAGCATTCTGTGTTGTGTGAGTGATTGACAGCTCTTGCAGGGATGTCAGCAAGGTCACTTCACCGGGCAGACCCCTCCCCAGACTTGGTATTCTATCCAGAGAAAGTCTAACATAAGTTCCATCCAGATTGCATGGGCTTGCAGCAGTTGAGCCCCAGCTACATTCATCATCTTTATAGGAAAGCCATCGCTTCTGGAGATCCAAAGGCCAGCTGGATCCTTGCAAGGAATGGAAGATTGCTGCTAAGGCGAATCGCTGCCGCATCAACCACAACGGAAAGCTTAACAGGTTGGGGTCATTGCTGATCCAATCAAAGGCCCTGGATTGTGGGGATCCGTCGTCGTTTTGGATTTTTTGCTTTGTAGCCAATGGGAGACTTTCCAGCAGGACCATCGTTGCGTGTTCTCGTGAATGAAACGTCGGTCCATGCCGAGGGTTGCTGCTGTCCTCCAGTTCAGTTATTTCGTCGTATAGGAATGACGGCTTGATAATGATGGCTCCAAACGCAAAGAACGAAATGAGTCCTAGCAGGACAACAAGACTGTATGCCAGGCGTTTGCTTCGCCTGTTCTGTTCTTCCTCGTTCTTGACTGCTTCTTCAGGCTTCGTTGTGGTGGTCGGTGGTGGTCGTCGTTCAGCCCTTGGACGCTCCGGATAGAAATGGATCGACTCTTCTTCGTCGTAGTCGTCGCCATGGAAATCGGCAGTGGTCAATTCCCATTCGTCTTCCGCATCGTTGTCAATCATGACATGAAACTCGTCTTCCGTTTCGTCCTCGCTTCTGCTTTGTGGGCGAGCCATGGCCAGGAACACGGGACGTTCGCCACAAGCGTATGCCCCTGGTATTAGTGAGCTTGGGCCATGTGTAGCTCTCCGTAGGCCTCTTTTGGTTGGCACTGGCACCACCGGCATTGTGTTTCGTCTCGCAGAGGGACTCGAAGACCATGATGACCTTTGAGACCGCTTGGCCTCCTTATCTGCCCAGGACTTGTGATGGTGAGACGACCGTTGCTGTACCTTGCTCTGTGCATCATGATCATTATCCAAACTGTCTCTCGCGCCAAGAAGAAACACATTCCAACTAGTGTGTCGACGAAGTCCTGCCTTGGTGTTCCTCGTGGAAGGTGTTGTCACCATAGTAGCTTGACTGGATCGACGCTCTTGATGGGTCCATGATCTGGACCGTTTGGATCGAAGGCCTCTTTGCTGCACCGCTTCTGGTCTCGAGTGGACCGCCCGGTTCTTGAAAGACTTGCGGGCCAAGCCACGTGTATCGGAACGTCGTCGACTAGCAGTGTTTTCCAAGCGTTGAAGACAAGGGGCGCTGGCTCTTCGAGTTCTGGGATAGGTCACGGAATCTTTGCTTTCCCTTAGCATCTGGCTGGAGCCACGGCTGTGTACGCGGTCCAACGTGGGAAGAGATGGCAAGTTCATGATCCCCGACGAGCTATTCACGAGTCTTGTGCTTACTCCCCGAGGAGACAGAGATGGGGCACTGGATCTGCGCAAACTCGACGAGCTTGGAGAGAGCACTACACTTTCCTTGCAATCTTCCTGTATGGCGCTGTTTGGTGGAAGTGCAAGATCAGACCCCAAATCAATAATGCTGGTAGTTAGTCGAGGCGTGGTTGGTGTAGTTGGAATCAAACTGCCTCTCCTGACAACAAGGATGCGTCGAGTCTTTGGTGGAGTATGAACAATGCTATGCTTGCTATCTTCCAGGCCAAAGCTTGTAGTGCTTTCGTGATTACTCGAGAAGTCTTCTGTTGCAGTAGACAGGGTTGGCAACGTCACGTTCGAGTCGTCCAGACTACTGCAGGCGGCTTTGATGCTGGGTTTTTTGCTTGGACCAAGAGGACTCGTCGTTGCAAGCCTGGAACGACCCCGTGGGAACGCAACCATTCGCTTGCATTCTTCCAGTACGAAACTCGTCTGGCTGTCATCATTCAGAGTTTGTGTGGTGCTGCTGTTGGTCCAAGCAGTGTGTTCGCTTGGGAAGCTGCTACCACTGGCGTCCAAGTCCAGCATGGATACCCTCACAGCAGCATCTTCATCTGCTGTAATCTTGCAAACGCTACCCAGTTCCTCGTCCTTACCCTTGAAGTCATCTCCTTCCACAGCAGGTGCCATTGAAACAAGGCGATCCAAGGTCGTATGATCCATGGTTTGTTCCCGTTTTGCAGCATTCATTATTGTGTGATGGTTCCAATTTGTGGCATCCATTATTTTGCATGCAACATGCAACATCGTTGGTTGCTTCTTGCACAGCTTTTGTGGCCCCTTGAAGCATCGATACAATACAAATCGGCAACCGTCACAGCAGAACACTTTCGATCAGTTGTGAGGTGCCTCACTTAGGCCCTTGGTTTCGCTTTTGGTACTTGCACATTGAGACAACTAAGCCCTTTGGCGACGAAAATGTGGAGAAGTCACACCAGAGCAGTTGAAGCATGGTAATTAGAGTGTGAGAAGTACCGAGCATCGGGTTCTTCAAGATGCCTCATTATCAATGAGGCATGCAAGAATTGTACCTTGTGAAGATACTTAGCAAGGTCATTTGGCATGATGCCATTCGAGCGGGTCGAAAGCTCACTGGCTATCAATTTCAATAAAACCAAATCGGTCGGGCGGAATACCGGGGGCAACACTCCGGCTACTCGAGTACTTGGACCTGGATCCACTGGTACAAGTCCAGAACAAACAAATGGACCTACCGGCACCGTACGATACGCCCAAGCCCCATTCGTGGCCACTGTCAAGTCCAGAATCCATACCCAACCTCTACTACTACTAGGTAGTACTCAGTAAAAAAAAACTGAACGTCTAATAACGGATTCAGACGAGATGTGCTTGAGGACTACCCACGAGCTAGGGCTCGGGTATTAGGTAGTACTCAGTAGTCGAGTTTCTCCTCGAGGCCCAGCCCCATGCCGCCGCTTGGCCCAAGTCCAGGATCCATGGCTGCCTGCCATGCCCATCCTCGTTAGTACTATCGATTCCAGCACTTGCCTGGCTGCCCAAATCCAAGTCAGTACAAACACCTGCAGCAAAGACCCACGCCCAACATTTATTTGGTCAAGCAGCACGATGACTGGAACAATCTAATCCAGGCAAACATTATTTTCCTCATCCACCAAATATCTGAAATCTTTACAGAACCTAGCTAGCTAGCTGCATAGCGTTGGTTACTCTCTGCACCTGTAGTGTGTACACCCTCTTCGATTCATTCATCATTCGGTTCGATAGTTCCTATTGTTGCCTTTTGAAAAAAAAGCTGTCATGAAGCATGAAGAGACACTTGCGTCGCAGTTGGACCGTTGTTCACCCCCGCTGTTGTTGCAAAGAAGTCTTTTGAAGACAATCCCGTTTTTGGCGCGTCACAAATTCTTATTTCGCTTTGCTACAGATGAGTCAGTGGGGGTGCGTTGGGGTAGGTGACATTATTGCTATTGATGCCACTTGTGGAAGGATTCTGGAATTGAATGGAGGCACAAAAACCAGAACATCACTACTGACTGGACACCCCTCAAAAACTCAACTCAATTCAATCAAACCGAGTGCATGACAGTCCAAGCACAGCATAGCATATCAGCAACGATCATAAAAAGAACCACAGCTGGCTAGCTATACTCGTACTCGTCGAAGCATATCATAATATCAACACCATGGCTTCATCGAACGACCCATTATCCGAAACCGACGGTGTCAAGGCGTCCACGGACTCGGCAGCGGTGCCGTCTACCGAGAGTCGACCGTCGGAATGGACATTGTCCCAGGAGGAACAACACCACAACAACGCGCAGAGCACAGCGTACGAGGAAGAATCCGTCACGAGTCCTCCCAGTATGATTCATGTCGACGATCAATCGTGTGCCTCTTCGGTGACCACGCTGCACTTTTATCGGTCCGAGCTATTTGTACCGACCATGTACCCGTCGGCTCAAAATTTGGCCAATGTGGCCGATGCCGCCATGCCCGATTTGAGTGCCGGGTCGGGTGGTGCCACGAGAGGGTCCACATCGACATCCACACAACAACAACAACAACAACAACGAAACGACGATCTGCAGTCGGCTGCCACGAGTAATGGTCTCGCTACATTGCTGGAAGAAGAAACGGTGGATCATCACAGCAGCAGCAAATATAGCAGTACAGCCGCTGGCTATAAGAATTCCCATTCCGACAATAAAATTAAAAAGGCCAGTCTAAAAAAGGATGACGCCGCCTACAGCAAAAGCATCGACGACCTCTCCTCCTTCTCCAAAGCCAGCATGATCAGTGACCGCAGCAAGCCCAGTGCCAAACAACAACTACAAGATTTCAACAACAACAGCAATGACAAATCGCCCGCCAGTCTCGAAATGCCTCCCTCCAAGAGACAACCCAGTCTGGGGTATCAACCAAATCCCAGTTTTCGTAGCAGTGGCAACAGCATTAGCCTGCCCGGAGCCCATGCTACGGCGGGAATACAATCTAGTGACATGGTGTTGCCCGCGCAACCCATCATGCTAGAGCAGCAATCCTCGGTCCACACCAACGGAGTCAGCAACGAGACCACGACTTCGGAACACAACAACAATCACGACAACAACAACCATATCACTGTTCTTTCGAGTAATACTCGCCAGAACCACAATCATTCACAAGCACATCCGGATCCCGAAATGGCACTCCGTACGAATAATAATACCTACGAACCCGAAGCACGGCCGGTAATGGAACAGAATCTGCCACAAGCCACACCCTTTTCCACAACGGGCAACAACGAGGCGGCCGAAGAGACCAAAAAGGATGTCTGCCTCCGATTATCCATGATGGCCAATTTGGTCATGTTTATCATGATTGGAATCATTGTGGGGGTGATTCTCAGTCGAAGGAGCAAAAGTAGTAGTGATAGCAGCAGCAATCCGGATGATGGCAATTAGAGCGAATCAAGTTGTGTCCGCCGGAAGATCTTGCTATCTTTGCCCAATCCGCTGGCTGGTTCACAATAAGTTATGCATACAGGCATGCACCAATGGCTGGTGTGTGTTACCGTACCGGTATGTTGTGCACCTGATGTAAACTGCGACGAGAAACCAAGGACGATTGCATGGGATGAACGAACGAATCGAATCCAGGCGTGCAGCACCCAATGTCTTTGAAGGATGTTGGTGTTTCCGAGTTTTGGTTGCCTTTTTCGTTGCCCAATGCCAGTGTCCATGGAGCATCATTCTGGCTCGGTGCCAACAACAGAGCTGAAGAACTTCCAAAAAATATCTAGAGATTTAGAGTCTCCAGAGCTTTCGGTGGTCTTTCCACTTCCAATGCTATGCTAAGTATCATCTTCTATCGTTTAGTCACGGCCGCACACTAGAACGGCAACAATGTTGCCGCTTTAGGGTTCAGCTTAGTCTATCTTAACACATGGTTTGCGCCATACTCAGAGCGCCCAACCTACTTTGTAGATCGTCTTTTACACTGTCTTCATGTATGTTACAAGCTGCCTAGCTCTATCTTCGTCAACAGACATGATTATCAAGCATTGTCGGTTTGGCAGCTATTTTATTGCCGGTCCGCGCACGGCTCTTCCAGTAGGGAGTGTACTGTGACCGGCAATTTCTTCATTTTTTCTTTATTTCGCTGCGTCGCAGTGGTTGACAATGACGCCTCCTCCTAGAAACAGCGGCAGATCGCCTGGAAACAACAGCAACAGATCATCTAACAATGATACAGACAGTAGTGTTGGTCAGTCCACGCCCATGCGCAGTGTATTGTTGCGTAGATCACCCCAATCGGCCTCAGTTTCAGCAATGACAACACCATCCAGACATGAGACTGATTCCACGCAAACCGAAGCTTTGCCTGTGGATCCATTGCAATATGAGGCTGACTATGACAGTGCTCGGTATCAAGAGAATGCAGGCCATCCGGAATCTGAAGATGAGGGTGATGGACCAGGAAATAATTCAATTTTGCGAGAAGTTTCGAATGAGAGAAGTGAGCACGCTCCTGAGAATCTGGCTGCTATTCCTGATGATACCGATTACATTCCTTCCAATGATGCAACCAGCGCAGCACACCGAGTTGAGTTAATTGATGGTGCTCCTCCTGGATGGAAGGCGCCTGGACCACCCCCTGGATGGACTGTGGTGAAAGCAAAGACGGACAAAGGAGAACCAGAGTTCGAGATGGTGGACAATCCTGGTGGATGGTCGCCGTATGTGTACACAGCCAAGTTTCGCAAGGCCAAGACCAAGACAGACAAGAAGACATATGCCTACCATGCCCTTCCAACCGGAGCTTCCCCTGTTCCAGAGGATCCAGTGACTGGAAAGAGAATCTCTGCCGGATATGAATTTCACTACAAGGGTTGGGATGGTTCTGCTGGTGGTACACCATTGTACAGAAATGGAGCAACAAGAGAGAACATGTTTCCAAAAGAAAGAAAGGGGTGTCTTGACTTGACCAAGTTGGAATCGCTTGGCCTAACAAAGGAGCGAATGACACAGGAAGATGGCAGCCCTGATGCGCTTTTCTTCTTGCAATTGCTTCTTCCTGTCTGCGATCCATCCAAGTCAGGAGTGAAGGATGATCCAAGAAAAGGATTCTATCACAAGGTCTCTCAGTGGTCCAATCTTTATGCGATGGGCGAACTGGAGCTTGGCAATGGCTATGGACATGAATTCAAGTGCACTAATCCGGCAGAGATCCTTCGCTGGGATGGTGTCGTTGTGATGGATGGAGTTCATGGTGGAAGCAATGGGGCTTTGATGAGAAGATTCGACAAAAGGGAAGGAAACACGGCCTATTGTCCTTTTGTTGGTGGATCGATGTCCAAGACACGGTGGTTGGAAATAAAGAGAGTTATTAAGCTGTGCAACAACCTGGAGGTTCCCAAGAAAGGACAACCAGGATATGATCCTGCGTACAAGTTCGACTACATCTTCAACGTCATTGTCCATAATTGCAATGCTCTCACTAAGCAAGCTGGATTGGACATGGCGGCAGATGAGACGTCTTGGGCATTCAGTGGGTTTGGGGAACCGGCAAGTGGCATTATTTCTTTGATCATGAACAAGCCTCACATTAACAAAGGAGGTCAGTTGGTGGTTGCCATTGATGTTGATCGAATTCGTCCAAGGGCATATGTACACCGGCACAATGTCCATGAAAAGCCTGATGGTTGGCGCTGCACTGCTGGACAGCTTGAAGCAAGAACAATCCTGGACAAACTGTATCCAATGACAGTCGGATATGAATTTGGGGAGCATGGTGTAAGTTCTCTCAAGATCTTCTCGGATTTGCCTCATCTCACTTGGGACAATCACTTCTCTGGAGACAACATGCTACAGTACGCCGGTACTTTAGGTTTCGGTATGACAATGACATGTCGCCGTGACAGATTGCCAGCAGGAATACCGAATCAGCACCTGCACAAGGAGAAGACAGTGGTCAATCCCAAGTCCAAAGCTGCACGATTTGAACGTCCTATTGTGTTGACCAAGGCCATTAATGGAGAGTCACACATCGTCTTCTGTTCCTTCCAATCGACTTCTTCCTGCAACATTGCCACTGTCAATGCTTTGAACCGTTGCGATCTTTATGCTCACACAAAGGAACGGGGAAGAGCTTCCCAAAAGAGACAATGGGCTATTGAAATGAATGAAGCAAGAGAGCTTTATTTAAAAACTTATGGCGCAGTTGATCGAATGGACCACTTAATCCAAAACTGCAACCTCGGCTACCGGTAAGCTATCATACTGTGGATTGGACGTTGCCTTGGCATTTCTCTTTCCATTATCTCACTCGCTGATTGTTGCTGATTGTTGCTGCTGTTCGCCATCAGGTCATGGAAATACTGGCATTCTCCGATGATCCACGCAAAGGCCATGGCAGTTGTGGTGGCTTATGACATGTATGTTGAATGTGCAGAAGGCTCGCTGAAAGCGGATTGGAAGGTGTCAAAGACAGTGGATTTTTGGAGATTTCGCGAGAAACTCGCAAAGCAGATGTGTCAATACAATCCAACCAATCGACATTATCCTGGAGACGCAAACTTCCGAGTTGCAACCAAGCAGTGCAAGAGAGCAAGGACACCACCACCGAAGCCACCTTCATCAGCATCCAAAAGAAGACGTGTCGCCACTCCTGAGAACTCCACGGCTTCAACATTATCTCCCCAAGATTTGCATGATGCCAAGGGAAGATTGTGTGGGCGTCTGGATGGTTTATGCTCCCACATGAACACTGTTGAGAGGCTCCCCAACAACAGAACCAAGATCTGTGTGGTCTGTGGCAAAAGCTGTTGTCATGTCTGCCACAAGTGCAACAAAGCGATGCACTTTGGGGAAGCCCAAAAGAAGAAGAACAAGGATCCCATTGTTGATGACAAGATAACCTGCTTTGTTCGCTACCATGATACCTCATTCTTTGGCCTTGCCAAAGAGGATTGGGAGATTCGAGGAATCAAGAAGGGGCAATGGGCATTTCCAAATAAGAAGATGCGCTCAGACCATGCGGAGGCAATGATTGACCTGCACAATGAGGCGCTTGTAGTCGCCGTATCCAACAATCCTCCTCCTCCTCTTGCTACCCTCAACAACAGACCTTCCACAATGGCTAACAGATTAAACGGCAGCACTGATAATACCCCAGCTGCAAGCAGCACCTCCGAAGCTGACCGTGAGAACCAAGATGATGACAACTTGCCATCCAGACCGGAAAATCGCATCATTTGAAGTCGGTGGAATTTGCGTTGGAATTACTGACAACATCATCATTGTGATGTTGTCAGAGCTAATCAAGAGATCGGATACTAATGCCTAGGTTGCTGGTGCTTCCCATGCCTCCAATTCTGTCCTTTTAGCTTCTTGCCTCTGCAGACGTTGTGGTTGTTGTTGGAAGCCGCGCCGTGGAGTCGTCGTGGGAAGATATTTTTGTTGTTGCTGCGCAGCGGTCGGCGACGTCGAAAATGTACTGCTACTGCTGAGCGAACGTCACTGCTACTTCAGCTGCTGCTGAGTGAACGTCGACAATGGTGCTGTGGAGTGGTTGACGACGACGACGGCCGATCGAACGTTGACAACAACAGAATGAGTCAGTTTGTGTGGTATGGTAGCGTCGACAACAAGAGATGAGTTGAGTCAGTTTTTGTGTAGAATTTGTGCTGTGTGTGGCTGTGGGTGTTGTAGCTGATAACCAGCCAGCTGTCAACCAGCAACGCTGTTGCTTTATTTTAAATCAATGACTACATCTACAGTGAAAAATGTACTGCATGCAGCTGTCGACATCATAGTGGCCACACTTTTCACCAGCAACCATGTTGCCGGTACTCCAGGCCCAGACTAAACGATGACCCGAAATATGCTTAATGAGGGTCTTACTTTTAATAGAACGGTGTCTTATCCCCTCAACAACAAACTGGAATGACCAAGATATGGAACTAGCTAGGGATGATACATCTTCTATCTTAAAGGATGTGTTCAGTTTGGGTCCACTGATTCCAGTTCTCCTGACTGCGTCTTTTGGCAAACTGATATGACCTTTTGGTGAGCTTTGATCAGGGCATCCATGTAAGGCTCAAACTCACTAGACACCAGATTCTTGCCTACAGGTTTGGGTGCCTTGTAGACGCTCTTCATGTATTCGTTGAATTCCTTTACGGAACTCCATCCCCAAAGCCGACTCACTTCTTGCCACCAGGAAGGGTGGCTGACTGTGCCTGTGGTAGTATTGCCTATGCTGGAGGCATCCAACAATCCATAGCATCCCCATGTGCGGTCAGGAAAGGTCATGAGCTCTGCCATGATAATGTTGTACATGGACTTGTACAGGTGAATTTGCTCCAGCATGCTATCACTAAAGTGCCGATTAGTCACTGTGCTATGAAGTATGGCAGCAGGATCCCGGTATATGTACACATGTCCACAATCTACTCCAGCCATGTCACAAGCCCTGTAGAGTAGGTCCAGTGAAGGGTAATTCAATTTCCTGCAATCCCCAAGCTCGTTTGGATAGGAGATCATTCCAGAGCCTGGTGAAATCGATAGAGTGTTGAGGGGGACATGAATGGTTTGCAGTCCTGTTGCAGTGGAATTATGGTTCAATGCCTCCTTCTTGGCAACTTGCTCCATTTTCTCCAGGTGCTTCACCACCATGGACTGGACACGATCTATATTGGGGTTTCCTTCTGTTGCACAGTGTGCATTCCAAAGGCTATTGGCTGGTTCCATGTTATTGAAGAGAGATAGCTCAAGATTCGCCAACTCTTCTGGTGCCAAGTTCATGCCATGGAGTGTTTTCATGAAAGGTGAATTCTTTGCAATCTCGCCCATGAAGTGATGTCCTGTTCCCTCCAGTCCCACCACCATGACAAAGCGAAGTGCACTGCCGAATTTCGGACGACGAACTTGTTGTTCTCTCTGATCGTTGAATGCATGGTGGTCTGTCGATTCCTTGCGGCTGGTGATGAATGACGAGTTGTTTTCTAGGTTGCTGTTTTGGCTACTTGCTGGCGGGACATCAAGCGCGCCTTTTAGCCTTTTCGCGTATGTCATGAGGAAGGTCATGAGGATGGCCATCATGCTGAACAAAGAAACGAAAATAAAACCTTTCATGGCTGTGTTTTTTTTTGTTTTGTCGGGTTTACTACACTGTATGGATTAGAGAGAGCGAAGATCATACGATTTTAGCAAAAAGTGACTGAATTAAGTAGTTTACTCTTGATCAGCACAAACTGCCGAATCACTTTTTGCTAAAATCGTATATCCCTAAGTACCAAACCTGATCGATTCGTGGATAAAAGAACCGTTGAAGTTGCTAAGGTTAAAGATAAACTGATCGCACCGAAAGTCCATTATTGATGAAGGCGCAGCACTGACTTCTCTCCCTCGTTGACTTCATATGGTAAAAAGGAGGTAAATCCAAGCTTGGCCGGCAACAATGGTGAGTGCTTTATCCAATCGGCCGATCGATCCATTGATCGATCGATCGCAATGAGGTAAGCCTATTATCAAGAGTGTTAATTGAAGGTACAGTGCTGACTTCTCTCCCTCATTGGATTTCTATGGTAAACAGGAGAGAATTCCAAGCTCGGCCGTCAACAGGTGAGTTGTTTTAATTATTCGAATCGAGTCGATCGATCGCACCTCTGTTATCCAAGCCTCGCTCAAGCCGACTGTCTCGAAAGCCATCCCTCATTGATTCCTATGGACCATGGGATGGCAGTCAGTTCTCGGCCCATGACAGCCAAGTTGGTGGAATTTGAAAAACAAGGGTAAGTCGCCGGTTTTCTTCAGTTGAGCACAGAAAACAAAACTCATATCTATTTGTTGTTTTCTCTGCTGCACTGCTGACGGCCGATGAACTACCATTGTCGAGGTCGAACGAACGAACGAACGAACCAGGTACCGTATTCGTCATAAGATTTATTTACGCCTTCCTCCTGAGACAGATCATTGTTTACGTATCCATGCAGAAAAACGGCGCGGGAGTGGTTCACGCTGAAACAGCTCAGGTCGCAACTGAGCTCCAGTAGAGGAACCAACCTGTATTCTTTACAACATCTCAGAGCTACCATGGCAGCTCTTGGCGCTATTGTTTGTCTCCCTGATTATGAGCTACACGACAACCGAATGCATCGTGTTAATCCAGGGTCCCATGCAAATCGTTCTGTGTTTGATTCTCGTCTGCGCTGAACAATGTTATTCGCAACAGGATCTCTTCTCCTTCATTGCGTTTTTTTAAAAGGAGCTTTAGCAACATCCTAACTGTATACTGCATCGAAGAGGACGGATGGAACGGTCGAGCGGCAATGATCTAGCTACTTATATTAATTAAACTGTGGGTGGTCCCTCGTGGTTCTGGTTGACGACCGCGAAGTCAGCCATCGAATTTTGCACACTACAGCAGTTCTAAGAGCTGACCTGACGATTCTCCGTGTGCGGCCTGGATTCATTCGATCCTTAATTATCAAGTACATGTATGCCATACATATAGCAACTAGACGATCGCCAACAAGCCTCAATGTAGAGATGTTCCAAGGAAGGATAATGCAGATTCCGTAGCCCACTGGTTCTGAATCGAATCGGCTTTGAGGGGAACGATCTTTGATTCTCGTAGAGTTTTGTGCACGCTGCTCCATTGTCTTGAGGCAGTGGACCACCATGGATTGGATAGCTGCCATGTCAACCATCCATCTTGCGCACAATGACATTACGAAACTGGTTGAAGAAAGCCCCCAAGCAACAGCAATGCCACTCCCGAGAGCCAGCAACTCACATTTCACCAGAACCAGTCCTGGATCAATATTTCCACAACGGTCCAAGTTCTGGAAGCTGGGTAAACCGTGAATTTAAAAACTCGGAATTGCGAGCAAATTTGGGACAGTTGTCGGCCATAATCTGTCCGCCCCTTTCCTCGGATTTCACTAAGAGTACCATACTCACCGGAAATAATGTCACTAGATTTTACTAGTTAAATTTCGAAGAGGGTTATGGAATGGGGTTCTGCGGGCGGAAAGCTTCTTTTTCGTGGATTATAGTAAACTTAACGGCTACAGTGTAAATCTTGGAATGACGTTGAAACTTTCCTTCAGCGGATTTATTCACTATAGCTATTTCTGTACAAAAGCCGTTTCGGATTATCATTTCCGTTGAAAAAACAGTTTTCGGTTGACGAACAGCAGTCGTGGTAAAACGTCCTCGAATCGAATCGAATCCTTCCCCAACGACAAACAACAACGATGACAATGACAGCAACGATGGCCACAAATGCCGACCATGGCGCTCTCCTCGGAAAGGGATTGGACAGATTACATACAAATGACGTCCCTGCCTCTTGTCGGCCTCGATGTCGGCTGCGACCTCGACTGCAGCACTCGACGGAGAGGCCAATGGCCTCTTCCCGCCTCGGCTTTGTCTTGGTCTAGCCTCCATCCTCGGCCTTGCCGATCCACGGTCAACCGTGCACCCTCGCTTCGCCTCGGATTTGCACGACTGACCTTGATCTTCAATCGCCACGAACGTTTTTCTACAAAATAGGTCAGTTTCAGGAACATTATTTAACATGTTTGCAGAGTTCTGCTTCAAGAAAAGAGATATTACAATTTATGGACACATGGTAATAAATCTGGCCAAAGTTCGCCATTTATTTACTGCGTGCAGTATCTGTACGGTGTTTACAGTGAAACAGCCCCACACCGGTTCACGGGTACTGGTACCGGTACAGTACGTACAGTCGTACCGGTACCGGTACGATGCTTGAATACTCTATCTCCAAATCTTCTTCGGTACTGTACAGAGCGGCACGGGACATTTGGGGCGTCTGCTTTCTGCAACATGGTGCCACCACCTCAACATTCATTTTTCATTTCGTTCATACCACCAAGAGTTTTGAGAGCTGACGACCAGGTATCAGAGCACAAGAGCTCCAGCAAAAACTCGCAAGCCACCATACCGGTACACATCTATCATATTCCTTATAGGTATCAAGTAAAAAACACCAAGCAGGACTCTCACAGAATACTCTAGTAGGCGAAGGGAGCACCCCACAGGCAACAGAGACAGACAGCTAGCTACGAGTAGCTATTCCATGATGGAAGAGACCACAAGCAGACGAGCGAGCAGTAATAAGGACATGGACCTATCGGTACTGGACACGAGTACTCCACAACCGCATCGTCGTCGAGAACCAGGTGAGTTGGCCATGGAAGGCAGTATGCGAGAGTTACTTCGCAGTGAACATTCCAGAGGTCCAGTTGACCACAGCAGCTACTCCAGTCTAAACATGAGCCAGAGCCAACAACAAGAGCCCGATCAAACACACAGTCACCCCACATTGGTGCGTCGGGCCGCGTCGGATCCATCCGAGTTCCACCACAGTCTCAACAATCTTGACGGGAGTGAGACCTCGTTGGCGAGAGAAAAGGCCATGATGCGCTATCCTGCCAGTCGAGCACCGCCACCTCCGCCAACTGCGCGAACGACTAGTACTAGTACTGGTCAGCGGGGGCTGCGGAGAACCGAAACTGGAGAACGTCGCATGTATCGAGCAAAACCTCCACCACCCGCGGCGCTATTGGCGGGTGGTGAAGTACAACGACGCACCCAGGAGCCTGTTCCTCCCGCAGTCAACATGGATGGGAGTAGTAGTCAACAACAACAACAAGAACAACAAGAAGAAGACCAAGACGCCACTGCCTCCGTGAGTGCGGAACAAATCCTCGACTTGACGTCACAGTCATCGCACATGCTGTCGTCGTCGCAACAAGACCCAAGCGCCAGCACCGGCTTGCAGGAGGAACAAATCCTAGAATTGACGGCTCTGTCATCTCACGCGCAATCGTCTCATAAACAACGGACTATTCATACACCAGCCGCCACTTTTTGTGGCACGACCCCTCCCCCTCCTACACTCCACAGTATGGAAAGTGGAGTGTTGACCAAAATTCAACTCGCCAGAGTGTTACCCACCATTACAGATGAACAAGCGGTGGAGGAAATGGGGCAACAGCAACGAGAATGGCAACGGCGTCAGCAGCAACAGCAACAACAAAGACAGCAGCAACAGCCACTCGCGTGTGGTTCCTGCGACGACTGCCTCAAGGGATTGCCGTGTTTGGTCGCCTCACTGGATGGAGCGGCACCAGGCGCCTTTTCCGTCACTGCCGAAGCAGAAGTCCGTCGGACACCGGCATGTGCCTTGACAACGGATCCGGACAGCCGCCAGCGCGAATCGCTACAACAGTATTCTCCCACGACGAGCTCCCCCACCACACGCCGTCAATCTTCCAATAATTTGGCAGTCGCCCAGGCAGTGTCCGCTCAATTGGTCGAGTGCGGGGAAGAAGAAGCCAGGGAATTGACGCAACGCGAACACGAATTGCAGGAACGAGAAGAACAATTGGCAGAGCAGTTGCGACAATTGCAAGCCTTGCAAGAACAGTTGGAATTGCAGCGGTTACAACTGGCTGGTGGCAACAATGCGACGCCATTGCCCACAACCACTGTGACGGCACAAGTTGTAGTGGCCGTGCCGGAAGAAAAGCCACCAGCTACTAGGCCATCGGCGACGGCTCGAGCCATGATCGAACCACGACGTTCCCACGCCAAATTTAGTAACGCAACAAGTAGTGGACCCATGCGCTTTGCTCCACCCGGTGGTGCCGATGCACGACAAGTGTTGATGGGAGTGGATAGTCAAATGCAACTGGCACTGCGAGAATTGCAGCAAAAGTGGCGCGATCGACAAGACAAACTGGCATCCAAATATAGTAGTGGTGGAAAGAAGCAAAGGTTGCTCTTGTTTGATCTGACACCTCAATGGCACTTGCGATACCTGTGGGCATATGCCAAACAGAATAAATTGTATGGATCGTACCAGTTTCCCTTGGAGCGAACCTTTGCAGCAGAAAAGAAATTGCAAAAGAGGTTCTTTAGTTTGAACATGAACCGCATGCGAGAACAGATTCGATCCAAGGTAAGTTACGTTCGTTGGTTTGCTGTCTTGATGCTGGACCAAAAATCTGATTCTCAACTGAAAATACTTCTTTTTTGTGTGTGTGCTGCAGACACTCTTCCCGGTCCCTGGTTTGAAGACACAGGGAGGCCATGACATGTTTTACATGCGGCCTTCTCGTTACTTGCCTGGCCAAACAGCGACAAAGACCGTTATTGACAACCTGATCTACGTCATGAACACCATGCTGGAAAACAACCTATCGGCTCAAAAGGAAGGCATTGGGTTCGTTGCGTGCATGGATGAGTGGAAGATGAAGAATTTTGAGGTCAGCTACTGCTACCAGTTCATGATGGGTCTGCAGGGAGTCATGGTCCCGGTCAAGACTCAGCTCTTTTTGATTGTCAATCCGCCGAGCTGGTTTGGAGCAATCTGGAAGATTATGCGGCCCATGTTGGCCCCATCCTTCCGAAAGCGGGTCAAGATTTGTCCCGAGTCCAAAATCTCCAAGTACCTGCAGCCTGGGTTTGAAAAGTTCTTGCCCGATGACATGCAGACTGGTCAAGCTGATACTGATGCAATGGTCAGGGATTTTATCGCGTACCGCGACCACGTGGAACCCGGACAAAATGCACGTCAACAGGATGTTGACCAGAGCTCTGTTCATGGGGGTAGCTCCAATGGAGACATTGATGACATGGGTTCCGTTAGTGTTTCACACCATAATTCTTCTTCCGACGGATGCTCGTTGTACGGCTCGCAACCCTCGATCAGGTCGAGCGAACATGGAGATGAAGACGACGATGCCTCCATCCATGGTGATATTGACAATTATGAGGCGCTGGAAGAGGAAGACATGAAGCAACAGTCAACCGAGGTAGTTCGCATCTCCAACATGCCGCGTCCTTGAGATGGCTTTGCACGACAACTCTTGTCTGCGTTGGTTCATCTTGCATTGAGGATAGAATAGCTTGGTTCTAAAGTATAGCTTCACAGTCAGTTTTCATTTTCTAGTTTTATTGCAATTGGTGGATCGGGACAAGTATCATTGGGGCTGTACCCTATACGGTGGATATTGTTGCTCTTTTCAGATGATCGTTGTCCCGTGCTTTTGGTAGAATGTTCGCAAGGCAAAAGCTGGCTCATGTGGTATGGTAGCCAGCGAGTGCTTACTTGAGCAAGAGCGCAGCGAAAACGGGGAGTGAAACCATCCATGCGATCTGCGTGGGCAATCCAGCACTGCCAAAAGCGCTAAACTCCCCGCCAATGAATTTGCCTTTATGAGTCCAAGCACAACGATGAGGGCACCACGTCCCATGCCTGTAATCAATTGGTCTTTTCCACCCCTGTTGTAAGGAACCAACGAAACAAGCGTATGGCGAGAACCTAGCTCCTGGCCCACCTGGTTGGCTGTTCCCTCTATCTATTTGCTTACCAAGCAAGGTGGGCGAAAAAGGTCCCCCAGGCAGCGAATGCGCTACCCACATATGTAAAAAATGCCTTCTCTGCTCCTGTCATGGGCACTTCATCACTCAGGTACATTTTCAAGGCAAGATTAGGAACCAGGAGAGCCGTGTATCCAGAAAATGCTATGAGCACAGAAGAGGCTTTGAAGAGTCCACTGCCCACATCAAGGCCCATGAAGTTAGAAATCATTGTTGAGGTAAACAAAAGCCATACAAGACAATCTGGTCCCTTCATCATCTTCGTTTCCTTCGCCGTGTCATTCAAAACAGCAGACCCAACGGTGAGGATCAAAGGAATCAATGACAAGGCTCGGATGTCAGAAATATCCAAATCGCGAAAGAGAGCAGCGGTTGCAGCCAATCCAGCTCCGGCAACGACGGCTCCAATCCGGCGAAGGAACTCAAGACTCTTTGGACTGACATTGCTGTCACCGTCACTTGCGGCGTTTGGTTTGGGAGCAAGGACAACTCCCAATCCTGCGGCTATCAAGACTTCTCCAAGAACTTTTGCTGCGTCTGTAGCCTCAATCGCGCCTCCACGGGAAATGGCGAGGACTCCACTCGGGCTGATGAAGCTGGTTGGCGAGGTTGAAGCTTCAGCCGCCATCTGCTTGGGGACAAAGGTACCAGCAGCAACACTGGAAGCAGCAAGGGAAATGGCAATGACAAGAACGGAGAAAGCAGGGAACTGCATGTTTTTCTAAAAAGACTTTGGTTGGCTTTGTTGGGATCTTTTGTGGTAGAATTGATTTGTGAGAGGTTTGGTACCGCTGTACTACCGGTACAGGTACCGGTACCAATACCTTCCAAGGGTTCTAGCGTTCTAGCTAGCTAGCAAGCTCGGAGTGTTCCGGGTTGTTCGTGTTCCTCGTTGTTCCTTTTGCTCTTTTGCTTAGCTTGTAGAGCTGTAATAATGCTTGTGTTGCCCTACCTGTGGTCCTGTTTCATGCCAGAGTTTTCCCCAGCTAGCTCTACTAGAGCTAGTAGAGCAAGGAGCTGTTGGGGTGGAAGAGTAGCTTGGCACCGGTTGCTAGTAGAGAGTGATTTGACGAGGGCTCGCCACATAATCCACCGAGTGTTTGGACGTCTAAGCCCCCAGTCCACCGCTACGTTATGGCGCCTTCAAGGAGTATTCATCTCCGTCGTTGCGTCTTGCTCTGCGAGGTCATTCCTGGTTGGTTTCATCAACAAATATCCGCTCTTAGTAGGTTTAACTATCAAGGGCGTCGGATACCCATCCAGCCAGAACCATTGAAACACCACAGTGCTTATTAGTATGTTTGAGGGCTAGATGCTACATACGTGACGATGGCTGGTTAATTAAGTAGCTTCAACTGTCCATGCCGTAAGCCTCAAGTCTACACCACTTTTGCCACTAGCATTGGTCGCGTTTTGTTGTCGTCCTTGTCGGCCTGGATAATGCTACCAGTGTTGGTGGCGGCATCCAGCAGTCTATTCTGTTCCTCCACTAGAAAATCCCAGGCAGCATATCGTTGAAAAGGTATACAAAGAAACAGGAAGAGTAATCCCGAGAGTGTCACTATCAAGGGGCTGGTGGTTGCAACGTCTTTTTGTGTTGCATAGCACAGCATCCAAGCTGTCATGGATCCAATCAATAAGCCGGTTGTGTAATCAACCAGCAAAATGAACCGCAATAACTGTGGTAGCCAAGAAGAAGACGGCTGATGACTCAGGTATGTGCTTTTTGATAGGATACCCCACATGCAAAGCATCATCACAGCGATCAGAGCGACATGCACCAAAGTACGGCCACTCGATTGTGTGTCGCTAGTATCACTCGTTGTTTCTCCATCATATTGCTTCCTCAAGATCCATGATGAGCAAAGAGCAGCAATGCATCCCATTGGAACCCCTACAATCAAAAAGACATTTTGAAGCTTATTGATTGCTTTCCTCTCAAGTGGAGTGGAGTATGGTAACGGCAAGGAGTGCATACTGTAGCGTCAAGGGGTTCTTGTAGTGTTGGATTGGTGTTGGTCAGACAGCAATGGCCGCAGCAAAACAGATCGATTGGATTTATGGAGCGTTTGTGGAGGCTGAGGATGGCTTGTACATGTACTGGTAACAGTTGCAGGGGAAGACCAGAAGAGCGGCGACGAACAGTAGCTTCCTGTGCCCATCGTGCGAGCTGATCGTGTCAACCATTATTTTGTTTCCGCTTCAGGGGTCCCAGCAGGCCCTTGAAGTACGAGTACTTACCTTTGAAAACCAGGTAGTCGCGGTAAACATGGGATAATAGACACCTTTGGATAGATTTGTATTACCGCATCTACCATCTCTAGCTAGTAGTAGGAGAGAACATTTATTTTTTGGTTGAGAACCCGAATGATTCGATTCGATTTGATTCGATTCAATCGCCCCGACGTATTGGAACTGGCTGCATCGGTACCAGTACCGGTAGACTAATGCGGGGAGCAGCTTCTTGAGCGACCGAGCTCGGCCGAGTTCCTCATCGCTCGATCACCCCAGAAAGATCTTGTCTTCTTGCTAGCTAGCTAGGTTGCATCGCAAGGACGGTACTTCTAGAAGCAAGTTTGATCTGCAGTATTGCAAAACATGGAGGCATAGGATAGCTATGTTTTCAGGAAAGTAAAAAGAACGAGGAAGGGAAGGTAGTATGGTAGTAAGGAGTGCACTTGCTCTAATGGTTCTCCTCTTTGTCATCATCATCATCATCATCATCATCCGAGGTCTCGTCGTCATTGTCTTGATCGCCTGAATCAATTTCGTCATCATCCTCGTCGTCACTAACGGCTCCTTGGTCGTATTCACTGGCGTTGTCGTCACCTTCCCCGGGTACATTGGAGGTATTTCTGAAGTGAAGAGGCAATGTAATGTCAGTTAGCACAGCCATACAAGACAAGGACCGACGATAAGTCAAGGGCACGCTGGATCAACCAGACGGTGCGGTTCTTACGCTTCACATGTCTCATCACACATGGCAGTGGTGGTCATGATCATTCCCAAGCTTTGATGAGCTGACACACAAATAGAAGCATCTTGGCCCAACACTTCAACCAAAGCTCGGTCCAGAGAGATCATGGCCACACCTTCATATGGTCGTTCATCCGCATCTACAGATGATGACAATGCACATGTGCAGTTGCATGCCGGTGGGACAGTCATGACATCATCGAGAGCTCGATGTTCTTGTCCAACAGCCCCTCGCCCGTTGCCAGGGAGTGACGATGATTCTAAAACCCCTCGTCGACGCAAGGCATTAAACATCGCTTTATCGGCTCGACTTAGAAACTTGGATGGTATGGATATGACAGCATAGTGCACTGCCGTCGCTGCCAGAGCAATGGCACACAGTCGAGAGACAACCGATGACAACATTCTTGCAAAGCACGAACCTTCAAGGTTTCCTTTGGCTCCACCTGCTGATGTTGTCTCGTCGAGTAGCCCTTACCAGTCACTTCTTGGTTATAGGAATGGTGTGGAACCAAAACCATGCATGGTCCCACCACAAAGTGGGATGGCAGTAGCAGCCAAAAAGGTACCGTACGGTACCTTTTTCGTACGGTAGGCTACTGGTACAGTCTTACCGTACGGTACCGGAACTGATATCTTCAAAGATCGCAGATGACTTTCAGATCTACGTAGCGCTAACCCTACCGTATCCTTTTCCGTACCGTACCGTAGCTGCCAACAACAAAGAGACAGCTTCCTTCATAGACCTTTGGTGATGCAGGAGACAACCATGAACAGTTCAGATCATCGCAACAAACGCAAGGTCTACACCGTCACATACCATTCAGCGTTCAGATCATACGTGCGAAATCTACAGACCGGAAGCTACACTGAAAAAATGGTGAAGGCATTCCTTTTTAAAAATGTAGATAGTCGAATTCAGAGGTATGGTGCTAAAATGAAGTAGAAAGGTGCTTCCTACCTACCCAGATGTTCAGTGGTTCATCCTCCTCGCGCATTGGCAAGCCTACGCTGCCATGACTTTCTGCAACGAAAACACTACTAGTTGGACTGCTCCTCTCCTCCTGGAGCAGCCTCCTATTTGGGCGGCGGAGGACCGGGGGGCGGAGGAGCCTTGAGAGGCGGATCGGGATGGTCATGTGTGCAGCTCCAATCGCACTTTGCATTCCCAGCTAGGAGCAGAACATCTAAACTTTCTTCTGGCACGCAAATCTTCCATTTCGGATCATTGAACATGACCATAGACCAACCGTGATCTGGTTCTTCGTCGCTGTCGCTGTCACCCAGCATTCGTTCACGCCTCGACCTCTTCTTCTTCTTCTTTGGCGCTTTGCGGCCCACCTCGCATTTGCAGGGGCATCGTGGAGTACAACCATAGTGACAGCAACCACAGCTATCGTGTTCTATAGCCCTGTCTGGTTTGATGCACTTTGTGACCTTGGGTTTTCCATCAAATAGAGCGGGGGGTGTATGGCGGCATACGTAAATACCCTTGCCGCCATGGTCCCGGTCACATTCGCTCTCACAGTTTGTAATGGTATGGAAAATGGTTTCATTCTTACCGTCTGCTGAATCTGGATTGCAATAGAAATTAGAATAGAACGAACAAGGAGAGAGAAAGATCAGACGGATTTTCTGTCTCCATTGTCGCTACGCAGCGACTTTCGTGGGTGGTGCTGGGGTATCTCCTTCGACTTACCCGAGGAATCAGAAGCGCTGCCGCTGGCGCTGCCACCAACTTTCATTCCAAAGATTTTAAACAAGCTTCGTTGCGCCGGATCCTCTTTGGGATCTTCTTCTTCGGGCAGAAGGTTTTCATCTTCAAAGGGAGATATCAGGGGAGTGCCATCTTCTGCATCTGTCAGTTCGATCTCATGTGTTGGTCCTTGCAGTCTACCACAGGTGCGGCCAACAGCGGCAAGGATCAGCAAGACTCCTACCACTCGCATTATCGACTAATTCGCAACAACGCAACTGGGAAGTGCCACAAAACTTTATTCTTTTATATAAACGTATGTGTTGTTGGATGGCGTTGGCCGTTGGCCATCCGATGTAGGTGCTTGCTTGGTTAATGGCAAGGGTATCTTTGCCTCGATCCATTTTGGGCAAGCCCAATTGTTGGGTGCGTGACCCTTTCTGCTTGGGCTCAGGCCGGCATTTCTCGGTTGGCTAGCTAGCTAGTACTACTAATAACTAGCTAGTAGTTCTGCAAAGGAAGAGGCTGCATGGTGGCCGGTTCAGTTCGGGTTGTGCCTTGGCTGTCCCAACAGGTTAGCAGGGGTCATTCGTTGATTCCTTGGGCCTTTTTAAGATAATAACGTGGCCACAATGTTGCCGCTCGGCGATTTAACATTTTAATGATGACACTTACACGTTTTAAGCTCAAGGTACCGGTACCAGTACAGTATCCACGTTTCGAGCCCAAACTTGCAACCACTCTCGTCGTGTGTTTGGCTCCGACGGACCATCGCATGGGACCCACAGAACAGCAAAGGCAACCACAAACCTACTGCAGCCGATTGAGTATACAACAGAGAAAGCAAATCAAAATGAAGACCGACAGCATGCAATTTATCACGTTTGATGACGCAGATTTTCTGGATCAAGACGCCACCGCTCTGGAGGAAAAGGTCCATATTCGCGTGCAGCAACGGAGTGGCAGAAAATGCATCACTTGTATTTCAGGATTGGCAGAAAGCTTGGACATGAAACGCATTTGCAAGGCTTGGAAGAAGAACTTTAACTGCAACGGATCCATTCAAAGAGATGAGGATACGGGACAACGAGTTATTCAACTGAGCGGAGACCAACGCATTCAAGTCCGGACATTTTTGGTCGACGAACAGATATGTCGCGCCAAGAGCATTGTGATGCATGGATTCTAGTGGCAAGATGGTGTGGCAGCTTGTAGTTTGTAGAGAATCCTTAGTAGATGCGACTTTTTGTTTGATGGCGCCGCCAACTCAAGGACATCTCTTGATCTCTCGTCAACAGACAACCCCTCTTCTTGCTGGTATCACTCTCCAAACCGGACCGCCGAAGCCGACAGAGGTGACAGATGCCTCGCAAACAGATACTTCGGTGTTCCCCCATTGGATGGTAGCAACAACATCGAGCTGGTCTTGCCCGCTGTCATCTATCGTCTATCTATTCTCACGGTTCCACAACTCGGCATTCTTGGAGGAAATTGCGAGGTATCACCGTAGTATTGTTCGGGGCATCCTGTCCCTTCTTGTATCGAGTGCTATCCGACGTGGTGACACCTGGGGTCGCAAAGTGCTGTTCACACGGTACATAGTTTCCCGCTTCCTGCTAGACTGCTTCTCATCTTCCTCGGTACCTGGTAAGGGGTTTCCTTGTTTGCTGTTGCTAGTCCAGGTTATTCTGCGGGTGTGCTGTTAACCGACACGATGGATGCCATGGCGCGCTTGGAGTTGGTTGCACCCTACAGTGGTGATATCCAGAACTTTTTTTAGAAGAGGAAAGAAGAACAGCGGACAAACAGAGCATCCGATGGTGGCACCCTATATGGCATCAAGGCAGAGCTTTGGAATGCAGAAGGCAGTGTGCCAATTGTCATGTAACGAGTGCGGGCAGGAAACGGCCGCATTTCTGCTGTCAGCAGTAGCAGTATCCCAAAATCACTGTTGCAGCGAATCCTGGATAACTCATGGCAAGCAAATCTGTAGCCACATGGGATATTCCATGGGAGGAGGAGCCCCTTGCGGCTCTTCACAGCAGGGTACTGCTATCAATCTGGATGGCATGCATAAGTCTGAGTCTCGATACTTGTTTGGTTTGGTCAACCTTAGAGGGTCCCTTACCCGCCCTTTTGGGGGAAGGACTCTCTACTACTGCAATGCGTCAAGGGCTTGCGTGAGAGTCAACCCGGTTGCCTAGATGCAGTATAACTACATACACAAACTAGTGCACGAACACAGCTGAGCAACAGCAGCGGCCAGAGCTATCTGCAGAGCATTTTCTATGGAACCGCCTGGCATATCAAACCATTGGTTCCTATCAGATGCAACAGGGGCTGTTGGAGTTGTGTCTACAAGGGGAGGTTACAACACCCACCGCAAGTTTGATTGGCATGGAAAACAAGCAATAATAAATGATATCACGAACCTAGTAGAACTTAGTACTAAAGCTGCGGAAGAAGGAATTATGAACTGTTGCAAGGGGATAGAGGACTCAAGATACTCAGAATAAGATGACACCGCCAATCTTGGTGTAGAACCCAGGAGGACCAACCAACTCCCCAAATGCATAGATGGTGGCATCCACAATCTTACCATCGCTCACCGTGAAAGTGAACTCAATGTTCTCATCTCTCACTGTCTTGCCAGTTGGCTCCACTGGAGGGTAAGGGCCAAAACCATAAGCTTTTCCTGTGTGCTTTCCAATCCCATAGTAGTCGTTGACTACAACAACCATGCCAGCTTTGCTCTTGTTCGTGGAAGGGCCCTGCACCTTCATGGACTTCCAGAAGAAGTGAATATCTGGGAAAGACTGAATGGTCTCATTCACTGCTCCATAGAACTCACTAGCCGGCATCTCAGTTTCAGAATCCGTGAATGTGAAGAAACATCCCTCTCCTGTCAACTCCTGCATCTTTTCAATGTTGTGCTCATCCTTGGCACGGATCCACTCTCTCACAACTCGGAGCTCCTCTGATGCATTAGAAGGAATGGGGTCCTCCTGGGCCAGAACGGTTTCGCTGTGTTCGGAGCCGATACTCAACAAGGACGCTGTGGCCGCTGCCTCGGTAGGATCTGTTTTGGTGGACCTGCGCTTCTTCTGCTTGGAGGAAGAAGACTTGGTCTTTTTGGTCTTTTTGAATATGGAAGAAAGGAAACCCATGATTGCTGGACGACGCTAGATGGCTAGATTGGATGGAGCGGTTCGTTGGTTGGGGGTTAGCCAGCTGATTAGTGCTTGGAATCAAAATTGTGAGCTTCAAACTGGCAAGCTAGCGGCGTTGCGGCGATGTTGGATTTTGGATTTGCAAGAACGCTTGGAAACTGCCCAGTAACGTTACCAAGCAGTCATAATTGAACTTATGTAAGAGAACATCGGTAGTTAAAGGACGTATCACCTATCACAATGCCAGTACAGGAAAGAAGACATAGAGCAACCACGAGCAAACCAAGTAAGTTCTCAGCGATAGTTAGTGATTCGGTTTCGGAAGCTGTTTTGGACGTTTTGGAGGAACAGAAGATGCCCTTGAAGCAATGAAGCTCTATCTCTTTCTATCTGAGGGCTTCCTAAAGGCCCTTAATTATGCCCGTTTGATGACTCTACGGCTCTTTTTTCGGGATGGTGGCGAACTAATTGATTTAACTCTTTGTGAGACCATCTTTACCCGCTGATTCTGGAATTATATAATGTTCATGACGACAACTATTCTGTTCATATTGTTGAACTCCACTGTTAATAACACCACTCTCCACTCAGCTCTAAGCTCCGAGACTCCGATTACAGCAGAATGATATTTAGATAGATGATGTCCACGCACCGTGCTCCTGGAGCTAGCTAGCCTGTACGCTGTACTAACTCGTACCGGTAGCTAGTAGTCCCTGGTGCTGGACTGGTACACTGGTACCAGCACAGTGCGTTTTTGGTAATCAAGATTCTTGGAAGCGATGCAGTATACTACTTGCGGGGAAGGCATCTTTACAATCTTGCGACAATGCTCTCTCCCCTCTCCCAGCTCCCCTGCCGGTACATACAGGACCAAGAAAGGGATCAAGGATCAAAGAAAACCATAGTAGCCAGAGTTAGAACTGGACTTCGAGTGATGACTGCACCAACGCACCAACGTCAGACTGCCGTCAGAGCAAACATAAATCGGGTAGACACTGTATCCAGCTTTTTGTTTTTTGCCTAATCCCCCCCAAACCTAACTCCCAATTTCCCTTTCTTTTCCTGAGCTCGGCCTTCCTCGGGCTTTCTTTGATATCTGCCCCACTCAAGCAAGAGCTAGCCAGCTCCTGGCTGGATTTCTACTAGCTAGTAGAGCCAGACCAAGAAGTCGCAATTGCCAGAAATCCCAGGTTGCAGTTGCTTTCATGGTTGCCACCTTGCATCATCTGCCAAAGTTGAACAAACCCTGGCGCAGTGCCCATTACGATGACGTTCTATTAATGACCAAATCCAATCATGAGACAAACAGGGCTGCTATTCCCATCAAAACTTCCACGCTCTGGTCAGGCCCGCACCACAACGAGGATCGCATCGAATGGGATGGGAGCGTAGCGATTACGAGCATAGCGTACTAGTAGACTAGAGCACCGTATCGAAACAATATTTCTGTCCTGCTACTGTGTTCTATTTTGGAGCCCATCGTGGTGCCCACAACTGCTCCACCCGCGGTGACCAGTTTGGAGGCTGAACTAAATGGTACTACTGTACCGGTACGAAAGAAGAGGCCCCCAATGAGTTCACAAAGCAGTGGCCAATGGTACGACCATAGTGTACTCGTCTGGGTGGATATTTCGGAGTTGCGATTGAAACATGGGATGCCATGAAAAAACTTTTGCTTCTGCAAGTATTGTAGATAGATGCTCTCCACGCCATCGAGGTGCTGGATGCAGCAGAATCAATCTGCACCTTTCGGCGTCCTTCATGGTAATAATTTATTTCAAATGGCGGTATCAAACACACACTTTTTGGGTTTTATCAACTCAGTTTGTGTTGACGATTCAAAATTTTCAGATCAAGGTGACATAGACAGACTATCGTGGTCGTCCAAACCCAAATCACATATCACACACATCTCACACATCTACATCCATAATTGACTGTTGTTATTCGTTACGTATTCGTTGCATTTTACGGTATGATACTGGGGGAAATTAGTCGCCATTGGAAGCGGTGTCTTCATGTTGCCGTTGGAAGAGGTGTCATCATGTTGGTTTCATGCTCCGCAACTCGGTAGAACTTCTTCTTGTTTTTCGGATCCACTCGAAAATGTTCTCCATTTTCTTTCTTTCTTTGAAATACTACGACCACCCTTCCTTCCAATGCCAAACTTCCACCATCGTATCAAACTTCCACCATCAGATCCATTTCTGTCTTTTCCTTATGGTACACGTAGTTATTTTTTGGCGGCCACAAATCGGTAGGGTTGACTTTGTCGTGGTGGTTCCGGCTCGTTTTGTTTTTTCATACGGTACGGCTGCGATTGTCGTGGCGCCGTGGCGGGCAGCTTTTGCGGTGCGGCCATGCGGTAGGGTTGACTGGCACGGGGTTGACTCATACTCGCCCGGGTAGTTTCCACGACGGGTTTGGCCATGCGATAGGGCGTGGATTGTCGTCGTTGGGTTGTGCCGGCGCCTCGCGTCTGATTGACGGCTTCGTCGTCGGAATCGGGATACTTTTCCTTCCAGCGTGCCAATCGTTCGGCAATGTCATCTCGTAACACTTCGAGCGAAATGCGATCGTCCATTTGAAAAATGGCTTCGGTGCCGCTCTTGAGAATTAATTTAATTTTGGGTTTGCCAGTAGTGCCGGAATCGGACACTTGGCGTTTCTTGATTTTACTCCACGGCAATGTGAAAATTTTAATACCATTGGCGGCAGAAGCATCCTTCATTTGAAACGTCAATTCTTTGTCGTACAGTTTCAAGGTACCACCGCCTTTGGTAACATAGGTCACCGGTTTGTACGTCGTTTGGGCTACCATTGTATCTGTCTGATCTTCAAAAGAAAGAGAGAGCTGTTGTGGGTAGATGGACTGGATCAGCAACTGACTAAATGATGTCTTGCTTTGCCTGGATAATGGATGGAATGAAGCAAGATGGCAGTGGGAATAATGAATGCATCCTTGCTTGCTTGTTCTGAATTGCATGATTTGGCGGCGGCATCAAGAGGAAGCAGGTATCCTGGCAAGATCCAGTCAAGACGGTTAGGCTTCGCTAATTAACAAAAGCGTGACTGAGGTCGCGCTTTGTTTGACGTCATTAATACCGTCACGGCGACCTGGTAAGCAAAATCTTGCTAGACTACATGATGCAAATGCTGCACCAAGCACGAAGTGCCTTAGCCTCGAGTAGTCTAGGTACATGTAGTAGCTGGAGCTCGAGCCGCGTGGCAGATAGCTCTTGCGTATGTTCGATGCGATTATAGATTCACAGCGGCTAGCCATTACCGCGTACCAAGCAAAAATCCTCGGATGTTCTGATCAACCCTAGCGGTATCATAGGATGGGTACCGTAGTCAAATGGTAGACTACTAGCTACGAGGTAAAGGCCCAAACTCTTCCGTATGCTTGGATCAAGAAGCTGTTCTGGGCGCATGATCCGCACCTCCGCTTCCTCTTTTTCTCCCCGCCCCCCATCCCATGCCCTTCAATGATGTCACCTACTAATTGCTATGCACTAGAGTGGCCTGTTTGCGCGGCAGATCATGCAACAGCGACGCACAGGCAGGATACACCTAATCGTCCTCTCATTGTGGTTCACAAAAACAAGCCCAGCACCCCTTGGATCCACCAGTCTTGGAGTGGTTCCTTGGTTCCGTACCTCGGCTCTCTTCCCTGGATTCTTCCTTTGGCTTCAGAGTGTTGCACAATTCTTGGAATGTGGGTATTAATAGCAAAATCTACTAGCTTGTAGCTAGATCTGGCTTCACGGATCGTGGTGGATCGAAAGGGCGGCCCTGGACAAAATTCCTCAACCCTACTGTACTTGGTCGTATGTGTCAATCACTCAGTCATATGTATGTCTTTCTTAAGTATTTTGCTTAAAGTTTGATACCTCTAGGGCGTAAGTTGATAAATCTTTACTAGTCCTTGGTGTCAGAAAATTGCCAGTACCGCAATAATTCCGCCATTTTGCCTCATCCTTCTTCAAAGTTCCAAGCGCCAACAAAATCTTTTGCAAGTTGCAAGGGCCTGGTTCACCTTCGCCTTGACTTTTTAAAAGCTACTGTACAGTAGTAGGGTACCGTACTCACCAAGCCAAGACACCATTTCAAAGGGAAGCTTTGCTCGTTGTTGCTCATTGCACCAGTGTCAGAATTCATTCGATCTGAACAGACCCGTGAGCATATCCACTTCTCTTCAGCTATAGTTCCTTCCTCTACATTTATTTCCTCAACGTCCATCTCTTCTGCGTTGCCTCATCCATCTTTGGTGGCTAGCTAGTACTACTCCCACGCATTGAATCCATTCCAGCAAGTTGTCAACAAAAAGATGGCCGACACAGAGACGTACGCGAATGTCACGTACAAACAAGAGAATGGGACTCTCACACTGAATGACAAGGTATTCCATTACCAAGCCGACGCTCCCAGCAAGACATCGGTGAAATGCAGTTGGGCCCGAGTGGAAAAGCGACAATTGTCTCCCGCTTCCAGCAAACAACACATGATCAAAATGTTGTTGGTATCGGGCAAAACGGCCGTCTTTACCGTCAAGAATCGACAAATGCTCGAAGATTTGCGCACATCCTGTCAAGCTCATATGGAAGCGGCCAAAGCCGCCAAAGCTATTGAAGATCCCAAAAAGTCGATTCGACAAAGTCAACGCGATACTGAAGCGGCCATGGACTCGCAACGACATTCCAGTGTCACGTCGTGGCGTGATGAACCCGTCAATAACAAGAACGACAAGCGAGACGATGATCGCGATCGCGATCGTTTTTGTGCCGGCTGCTGTGCTGGAACGACGTTTTGCCTCATTTTGATTTGTATCATTTGTCTCTTGCTGGCCGTCACGTGCTTTTTGATCTATTGGTTTGTCTTGAAAGATACCGATGCGGTTCAAAATGTACTCAAAGAAACCGGTATTAAAGACAAAGATCGCAGTCGACCTCCGGATGTCGGAGAAGAATCCCGTTATGGCATTCGTGCCGTTCATCATGAGTGGGATTCCGATGAAGTGTCCCTCCAATATGAATTGTCCGACTATATTATGGACGATTCCGTCAAATTCATTTTATATGACGGACTCGATTGTCGTCTTTCCGATAAGGATATTACCCGGGACAATCAATGGCTCTTTATTTTCCTCAATAATCCCGTGGGAGATGGCGGCGCCAAACTCTACAATGAAGGACGCGGCACTCGCGATTTTGAAGTGCATTTTACACTCAACAAGGGACAAATCACCGATGCACCCTTTTTCACACCCAATGGATTGGATGCCGGACGATTGTCCTTTTGTGTTGGACTTTCCGTGTCCTACAATAAAGTGGATTATTGGGAGTATACTGAAGAAGTGAGTAGTACGGCAGGTGTCCTGGTACAGTCAGTCACTGGATTGCCTTTGTACAAAAGTGGAAAACTGACACTACATTCATGTTTTGTGCACTCTTGTCACAGGTCAACTTCGTCGAGAGAGCTGTTCAAATGGATATCGACTTGTCCGATTTTAGAAGAATTGATGATTTCATCATACGAACCATTGTTCGACCGAAATACTATAGGAGGGAATTATCATCGGGCAGTATTGCTTTGCGTGGTTCCACAGAGCCGATCGATTTCTTGGAGTGGCAAGAAGAAGAAGAAACACAGCAATAATCCATCTAGGGAACCAAGTGGCAAAGGAATAGAGCTGTTGGTGTTGGGACGATTCGATTCGATTCGTCCTGTGTCGTGAAATAGTGGTTGTTTGGTGATGGAAACACCCATAGCATCAGCAAACGGAGTGACCCAAGACGGAGCAAAGTCGCAACGGGCATTTGGCTAAAAACTTGTGTGTGGATGTGGAAAATCGTGAAACGTGAAAGGTCGACTCAAGCAATGATGGCTCAGAAAAGCAATAGTAATATCTTTTGCTGGCTGTGCGGTTGCTCGCTTGCACAGCAAGCGGTACAAAATTAGCTTCGTTGTTGTTGTTGTGATGCATGCATGCATGCATATCTCTGGAAAGTGGTATTCTCCATACGGTAGCCAAAGCTGTGGCTAGCGTCTACGGTACTAGTGCGGATTAGATTGGACATGCGCAGCTAGAGCTCTTGGTTAGGGCGGTCCACTCAGTGCTGTCGAACAGAGAGCTGCCCCTGAATGTTGTTGGCATCACATGCAACTTCAAGATGTGGTGAACCAAGAGCCTATTTATTTGATTGTAGATGTCGCACGGCATTGGTGGGTTGGGCGCCACCCGGGCGCAACAGTTTGTTGATCTTTGAAAGATTGTAATGGTAATAGGAGCACAACCAACCCTCAGATGATCCAAAGTCGTGTTGATTGGTTTAGCAGGACAACCTGAGCCAGACCATTTAGAGACCGCTGGCCGAACCAAGGACACACTCCAACAACAATGCAGTCCAATGAATGTTACATGACCTCTGCGAGTGATACTGGTATGGCATCACCAGCAATAAAATAAACAGTGACTGCAAATCTGATTTCAAATCATCAACATATAGCACCGCCACTTGCAGAGGCAAGGGTTTCGAGGTGTGTACTACGCATACCGCTATCATGTACCGGTACAATACGTCATTGGCAACTAGCTAGAGGGCTTGCACACTGTATTTCAGCCATTGTTGGTGCGCCGCTACTCCCTGTACCGATATCACGCAAAGTACATGGATAGCTAGGAGCTTAAATAAGGAATACGAATTCAGCATCGTCAGTGAAGGCAGCACCCTGGGGGGTTTCTGCAATTGCCACTTCTTGGTCATGTTTTCTTACGAGATATTTTGCTTTGCTCTGACAATGCAATCGCCAACGCAGACTCCACTCCTAGCTAGCGCTAGCCAGTTTCTTTCGTTGACCACTGTCGCCGGTCCTGAACGTCCAGGCTTTTGTCCATTCGCCCACTCCTTCAAGAAACTCCCCGAGGGCTGGATTCCTCGCGATTGAATACCGTAGTACGGCCTCCTTGGTGAGCTCTTGATGCAAGTAAGTTTCCCTACTACTGGGAGCTGCTCTGGAGTAATCTCCAGCACTCGAGTAGCCAGTTTGAAAACCAGCAGTGTTCCTTTTCAGACTAGGATATTGGCTGCAATATTGAGCCACTGGCAAACGAGCTCAAAAGCCAGCAGCTCGAACAATGTTGAAATCTTGGGCCCAGCTGCAAGGTTTCCTATGGAGTCATGGGAAAATCAGGATTGGATTCCATTTTGTTGTCAATCTGCCATGAATTTCTCCGTGGGAAAGGTTCTCCAGTACCAATCTCAGCACTCAATATGCATTGTAGAGTGGGTGGCTTTGCATGAAGACTGGAGCACCCATCCCCAAGATTCAAAGGAGAATTGTTGACTTGATGGCCACATAAATGGAGAAGATTTCATTTTTGTAGTCAATGGAAAAGTCAACGCAGTGGTAGAGTAGTGGCCGATTGTTGATTTTTAGTAGCACTAGCAGAGGCTTCATTAACAGAAAGCGGAAGTCTTCGCGTCGTTTGCTTCGCGTCATGGTCCCTCGCTCCGTGGATTCAGCCAGCGATTCAGGCATCGACCGAATCGATCCGTCGAACGAACAAACAGATGAAACTCGCTGCCGCTGATTCCAGCCTATCCAAACAAGAGGAGCCTGTCATGGTGGATTTGTAGTAGCCATGAAAGAGGAGTAGCCGCTGTAAAGAAAGGGAGATAGCATCATCTTGATAGAGTGAGGGTGGTGGCCGAAGTCATTTGAATCCATTTAGTAAGCTAGGGTTAAGGGTATGGTAATGTGGGGACTGTCACTCTCGTAGCACCGGTACTGTACCGGTACTACGTACCGTACAGCATGTGATCTTTTAGTGCCCGATGTCTTACACGTCTCTAGCTAGACTACTGGTACCGGTACTAGCTATTAAATAGTAGCTTGTGCGGGCATGCGTTATGTCAAGGACTCGACTCGACTCGACTCCACTCCACTCCACTCGACTGTCACTCAATCCAGCCTGTTGAACTTTTAGTAGTCTAGTCTACCAGTACCGGTACGGTAGCTACGTGTAGTTGTACCGGCCCTGGCACCACTGACAGGGGGTAGAGAGCACTACATACAGCCTGTGCATATGAACAGGGAGGATGCCTGCAGATTGAGAGCAAGGCCAGCCATTTTTTTTGGCCTGAATTCAAAAACGTCCAATTTCCTGTGCAATCGAACAGGATAGCGACGCCTGTTCAATTGCACAGGAAATGGACGGCCTGTGCAATCGAACAGGATAGCGACGCCTGTTCAATTGCACAGGAAATGGACGGCCTGCCTGTTCATATGTACAGGAGGCTGTACATACCAGGAGCTCGACATCCTGTTCAAATGCACAGGAATTGTGACGTTTTTTTCTGGGTAGGCTTTTACAGTCACACATAGATCTGCCATTACGTTGCCATTACGTTCAGCATTACAGTCAAGCATGTCCTCTGCAAAGAATAGATGGTTGCAACTTCCTGTGTTTTCCTCTTCTCAGATAATGAAAAAGAAATCAGGAGAAATGAAGTCCAAATCTCTCAGTGACAAACCCAAAGCCACAAGCCACAAATGAATGCAAGAGCCAGATATGATAGTGGTAGTAGTGGTGGTAGTAGTAGTGAAAGGATCAGTTGTTCTTGTTCTTATGCTTAAGCTCAATTGCACAGGTGCTTGTGCAATTGAACAGGAGGTCGGATCCTGTACAATTGCACAGGAATCGCGTCAATCCTGTACAATTGCACAGGAATCACGTCCGTCCTGTACAATTGCACAGGAATCACGTCGCCTGTTCAATTGCACAGGAATCGCGTCGCCTGTCAGGCCAAAATTTGACTGCAGGCTGGCTCTCTAAAAATCCTGTTCATATGCACAGGCTGTATGTAGTGCTCTCTACCCCCTGTCACTCAAGTACTCACCAAGCCAAGATTCGTACTACTTGTAGTACCAGTACCATATTTCGGAAGCTCAGAACTCATATCTCTTGGCTAGAGCTAGCGTACGCGATACTCGTAGCCAGCCAGCTAGCTAGTACGAATACACAGAAGAAGCAACTGCATCCACAAGATCCATCCCGTTTGTGTTGCCTCATCAGGTTTAGAGTAGGTAGATTATCTACGCCTCATTCATCTTCACTATTACTCCCACTGCATCGAATTGATTGAATTGATTCATTGCAAGGATGGTCAACATGGCAACGTACGCAAATGTGGCATACAAACAAGAAAATGGAACACTAACACTGAATGACAAGGTGTTTCACTACCAAGCCGATGCTCCCAGCAAGACATCGGTGAAATGCAGTTGGGCCCGTGTGGAAAAGCGACAATTGTCTCCGGCATCGAGCAAACAACACATGATCAAACTCTTACTAGTGTCGGGCAAGACGGCCGTCTTTACCGTAAAGAATCGACAAATGCTCGAAGATTTGCGCACATCCTGTCAAGCCCACATTGAAGCGGCCAAGGCAGCACACGCCATTGAAGATCCTAAACGCTCCATACGACAAAGTCAACGTGATACCACTATGGATTCGCAACAACGGAATGCGAGTGTCACTTCGTGGCATGATGAACCCGTCAACGATGAAGACTATTCAAAAAAGAATCTCAATACTTTGTGTTCTCTCATTTGTGCTGGAATGATTTGTTGCATCATTTTGATGTGTATCCAGTTCTTTTTGATTTATTGGTTCCACTTGAAAGAAGACGTTCAAACTATATTCACAGAAACAACGGGTAGTATTATGGAGGATGATCGCAGTCGACCCCCGGATGTCGGAAAAGAATCCCGCTACGGCATTCGCTCGGTTAATCATGAGTGGGATTCCGATGAAGTGTCCCTCCAATATCAATTGTCCGACTATATTATGGACGATTCCGTCAAATTCATTTTATATGACGGACTCGATTGTCGTCGTTCCGATAAGGATATTACCCGGGACAATCAATGGCTCTTTATTTTCCTCAATAATCCCGTGGGAGATGGCGGCGCCAAACTCTACAATGAAGGACGTGGCAGTCGCGATTTTGAAGTGCATTTCACACTCAACAAGGGACAAATCACCTATGCACCCTTTTTCACACCTAATGGATTGGATGCCGGACGATTGTCCTTTTGTGTTGGACTTTCCGTGTCCTACAATAAAGTGGATTATTGGGAGTATACTAAAGAAGTGAGTAGTACGGCAGTACAGTCAGTCACTTGATTGCCTTTGTACAAAAGTGGAAAACTGACACTACATTCATGTTTTGTGCACTCTTGTCACAGGTCAACGCCGTCGAGAGAGCTGTTCAAATGGATATCGACTTGTCCGATTTTAGAAGAATTGATGATTTCATCATACGAACCATTGTTCGACCGAAATACTATAGGAGGGAATTATCATCGGGCAATATTGCTTTGCGTGGTTCCACAGAGTCGATCGATTTCTTGGAGTGGCAAGAAGAAGAAGAAACACAGCAATAATCCATCTAGGGAACCAAGTGGCAAAGGAATAGAGCTGTTGGTGTCGGGACGATTCGATTCGTCCTGTGTTGTGAAATAGTGGTTGTTTGGTGATGGAAACACCCATAGCATCAGCAAACGGAGCAACCCAAGATGGAGCAAAGTCGCAACGGGCATTTGGCTAAAAACTTGTGTGTGGATGTGGAAAATCGTGAAAGTGAAAAGTCAACTCAAGCAATGATGGCTCAGAAAAGCAATAGTAATATCTTTTGGTGGCTGTGCTGTTGCTTGCTTGCACAGCAAACTGTACAAAATAGCTTTGTTGTTGTGATGCATGCATGCATAATTCTGAAAAGGGGTATTCTCCATACGGTAGCCAAAGCTGTGGCTAGCGTCTACGGTACTAGTGCGGATTAGATTGGGCATGCGCAGCTAGAGCTCTTGGTTAGGGCGGGCCACTCAGTGTTGTCAAACAGAGAGTTGCCCGTGAATGCTGTTCGCATCACAGGCAACCTCAAGATGTGGTGAACCAAGATTGATTGTAGGTGGCAAAGATTCGATGATTACGGCATTGGTGGGTTGGGCACCACTCGGGCGCAACAGTTTGTTGATGTTAGAAAGATTGTAATGGTAATAGGAGCACAACCAACCCTCAGATGATCCAAAGTCGTGTTGATTGGTTTAGCAGGACAACCTGAGTCGTTCCATTTTTTGAGAGACTGGTCAGTCGTGTTGATTGGTGTTGCAGGACAGCCTGAGTCGTTCCATTTTTAGAGACTGGTCGAACCAAGGACACAATCCACCAAGAATGCATTCCAAACAATCATGTCACATGACCTCTGTGTGCGGTACCACTTTTCCAAGCGGGACGAAACCAAAGTGGAGCCCCGCCACTGGATCTGTACACTAACACAAATACAGATTACTAACCAAACCAACAAAAGCAAAACTACTATCATCTCTGTGTCAAGCATCCAAGACAAGCACTATTGTGCGTTGGAAGTGAAGTATATACAGAGCATATATTCCAAAAGTGTACATCCCCACAAAGAACCCTCCAAACAACGCGCGAATAATGCATGATTGCCAATTCAGAGAATTCCAGTCATCCACGCGATACCCTGGTACTGTTTCTACAGAAGATGTCATTATCCAAAACGCCATCACCCACAACCAAACACAACACAACAAAAAACCCACA